GCCCCCCCCCCCCTCTCGTTTGTACGCATAATTTACGGATCTGTGTTCTTCACCCGTAAGCGGGCGGTTGAGTTTAGATACGTCGCATCTCCAACCTGCCTGATAATAATTTTTTTCGGGTTTTCCTTGTTTTCTTATGAGAGTTGTTCAGCAACAACGGTAGATGGCGTGGGGATCACACGTCCTATGCCTCGAGTCATATTCATGACGGTGTTTCGATGCCGTATTGGATTTTGTGGGATAACCAGTCAGGTTCACTGACGAGTGAAATCTATTGACGAAGCCTAAAAAGACTCAACACGATGTAGATCTCTCGGCGGGACCTCATCTTAATACTGAAACGCAAGCTGCCTGAGCTAAACACTCCCATTTTGGACTAATACTTATTAGAGCTCAACATTTTTTACTCTAAAGGAAATTTTTTGCTTTGTTTTCCCCGCGATATAATGTGGACCCAGCACCACTTCACCACCTTGTTACATACAGTTCCCGCCATTTCTTAATTTTTTACCCTTCTTTTTCTTCTTCTTCTTCTTCTTCCTCTTCTTGTTTATTTATATATAATGTTATGATTTGAACACATTTTCCCATAGGTAATCTTGATTGAGATGTTTGACCGACTATAGGCTAGCGCAGCCCCTTCTTAAATGAATAAGTTGCTGCAATATAGTAAAGATTAAGTCATATACGATAGAAATGTTTCCAAATTAGAAACAAGTTTGAGATCGCAAAATGTAAGTTAACAATAATTTTTATCAGCAATGTGAGTAGATGGAAGTAAAATTGTTTCTGTTGTGCGTGAATTAAAATATTTGACCTGCGGGCCGATTATTGAAATTGGTAGAGAAAGATTTAGACAAAGAGGACAAAAAGGATATGACGGGATCCTATTGGTGAAAGGGGTTGGTTGCAATGGACAAAGGAGGTAAGTAACAGACTATTTGACGGCTACCCACGAGAGACCCAATAGTTAGTCCATCATTTTGTCGCGTAGTCTATAAGAGCCACCCCTTTCAACCAATAGGATCGTTTAATACGCCCAATGTTTTCTTTGTCTATCGATTTGTCTTTCAATTTTGATAATCGGCCCGCTAAAAACATGTGCCCTGCGAGTTGTAAGAGGGCTTTATCTAAAGCTTGTATACTAGCTTTATATGAAGCTTTAGATAAGGTCTACAAATATATCGTAAAAATAACGGTCGGCTTAAGCTACTTTGATGTTTTTGCTTTAGGTTTTAAGACAATTTTAACATCAAGAGGGTGCGTCAGAGCGAGAAATTTTCGTAGATGGACTATTTGCAGCGAGTAAACGATGTATTCTGGAGCCCCTCATTTTGGCTGCCACAAAATGTGACATGGGAAGTTTTTGAAAAGTTTGAAAGCAAAGATGGACTTCGGATGCCGAGCATCCAAGATGTTTACTTCGCCTGGAAATTAATTCCTCTCGTACTGTTTGTTAAGTACTTCATGGAAAAGTAAGTATACTTACTGAAAATAGTAGTTGCTATTGCGATTGAAACATTTCAGTACTATAAGAATGTCGTAAAAGCAGTTTCTTTTTTCAAAAAAAATTGTTTATTTTCAAGTTGCTCGTTATTGAACATTTGTAAATCTGCAGTTCAATCAAAATGGGTATCCTAGAAAATTCTGATGTACAAACTTTACGCCATTTTAAAGGGAACCACCTCGAGAATAAATCATTTGATTTTTTTTTTTAGTTTCGATATCAGATACGCTCTTTCCGGTCAAGAAACTGCCGATCACTAGATTTCACCCTATTTTGCCGGTAAAATACCAAGATACCCACTTTCCACCATTCTCCATGATGTCATCTTGAAAATACAGCAAAACTTCGGAATTTTGATGTCAGATTTGTTGCTTCGTTTCGTTTTTTCAGTGATGCTATGATTCGTGCGACACACTGGTAAAAAAGTCGCTTGGATCTAGAGTCCACACTCTTGAAAACAATGACAAGAAAAAATACTTTTGAATCAATCGGGTTTTTTTCTATAATCAAAAGGAAATTTGCTTAAATTAAGAGGCTCGGTTCTCGATCCAAGTAAATATCCGATTGAATCAAGAGTATTTTTTCTTGTCAAAGTTTTTAAGAGTCTGGATTCCAGATCCAATCGGCTTTTTTTCCAGTGCACACTACCCGGTTGATTCGCTGAGTACCATTATTTTTACCTGTGTACCCATTCATGTGATTGGATCAATGGAGAGTTTATGACTCATTTTTTGTGATACTTTAACTGGAAGGCTTGAATAAGCATCAAAGGTATTTTGGTACTAAAAGTATGATTAAATTTGTTTCAGATGTATCGCTGCGACGTTTGCTAAGTGGCTCGGGGTCAAAGAAGAGCCACGAGAGAAGCCACCTTCTGTTGATATTTTAGAGAGAGAGCACCGTGCTAATCCTTGGGGGAAATGGAGTCATGAGAAAATTTTGGCGCTTTCCAAAGAACTTGCATGGACCGAAATTCAAGTCAGATCGTGGCTCAAAACTAGAAGAAGATTCGCACTGCCTACAACAGCGGAAAAATTCAGCGAGAGCTCGTAAGTGTTCATGATTCAAAAATGTGTTTAAAAAATGAAATAAAGAAGAAACAAAAAAAGCTGGCCACAGTAAAATTATGAGCGGACAATATGTCGAAAAATATATCCCTCGCACATCGAAAAATTAAATTATTTCAGTCTGAAAATTATATTCATGTGATTGAAGTTATATAAAACGTGCGAGAATTCCTTCGGTATGTTATGAATATGCGTTCAATTTCACATGCACAATTTTCCTCACTCGAGTTTGTCTGGTCCTTTTCTCCTTTGTTTAAAAAAAAAATATTATTTTAATATTAACTGCCCAGGGCCGGATTTACCTACTTGCCGCCCATGGGCCGCCTGTATTTTGCCGCCCCCTTCTCATTCGTTTTGAAATACCAATAAAAACCATCGAGTAAACGTACCAGCAGCAGCAGGGGAGGGGTGCACAAGATGCGTTTACTCGTGTTGGACATATTTTTTGGGAAAGCCCTATTAACACTACTAGCAAAATTTCACGGAACTTTGTGCGAAAGTTAGGTTCCGTAAACCTATCTCTGTGTGGACAAGGCCTTCCATTCATAAGAAATGAACGAACAAATTATGAAAGAAAAAACATAAATGTAGTTTAATGATTTTAACTTCCGCCGCCCCGCCGCCGCGCAGACTGCACTGTGTTTGGCACAATGCGTGAAGTATTCCAACAGTCTTGTATAGGCGCTATGCGTTTCACGCCGACCGCTGCTGAACGCACTGTGTTTGATGCAATGCGTAAAGTATTCACGCAGTCTTGTAGGCGCTAAGCGTTTCACGCTGACCGCACTGTGTTTGGCGCAATGCGTGAAGTATTCATGCATTCTTGTAGGCGCTATCCGTTTCACGCTAACCGCAGTGACCGCACTGTGTTTGATGCAATGCGTGAAGTATTCGTGCAGTCTTGTAGGCGCTAATATGTGTTACATGCCGACCGCCGCGTCGAGGGCCTCTCCTTTTCATCTCAAGTCCGGGTCATCATTTCTCTCTATGTCGCGCCGTTCCAGGCCAAATTGAGTGTTTGGTTTCTCTCTTAACTCAATTAATGAAAGGTGCTGTCTCTTGTATCACTAAAAGACGACAAAATTAGAAATTACTATCCTCTCAGGAAATGAGAGATTTTGTCGCCTTTTCTCGTTTGTAATTTTTTTCTCAAAATTCGATTTTTATTTAAAAAATTGCATTATTTGCCGCCCTCTAGATTTGCCGCCATGGGCCGCGGCACATGTGGCCACCCCCTTAATCTGGCCCTGTAACTGCCTGAAAGCTGTTTTTGCTATCGATCTCGTTTTAACTCTATCTCGTTTGATTTGTTGCAGTTGGCGAGCCTGTGTTTTCTTGTTCATTTTCACTTACGGCCTCAGCGTGCATTGGTCCAAGGAATGGCTATGGGATATCAAACTTTGCGCCCAAGGCTATCCACAGGTTCCTAGTTACTCTAAATTTCTTTTCCATCACTCGAAAAAAAAAGGCCCAGAAAATCTAATAAATCCATATTTTGTTTAATATATCAATAATATATACATATTATCAATATGATTATATGTATTATAGTAGTGTAGATAATTAGTAATCGCCGGCAAGTTGCAAACCATTATTGATAGTTAAATACGCACGAGATTCAGAAATTAAGGATCAGGGATTATATTTCATTGATGCCATTGATTGCACAGATGATTTTTTGCCCCCCCCCCCATTATACTATTCCCTTCCCCCACCTCCATTAATTTGTCCAAGAATGGGGGGGGGGCGGACATTTCTTGATTATCTTGTCAACGTCATTGTATAAAGCTTCTCCTCCCACTCAATTCAAGAAGAGGAGTCCGCAACTTCAGTGGCGTAGCGTGCTTTATGCGTTATATCGATTGATCTGTCATTTAAACCTTTGGAAAAGAGTCGATAAACAGGGTGTTCGCAAGGATCACCTCAATGATCGAGTCTTTACCATAGCTTTAAATTGGGAAATATCGATAATCGATCATTCACGCATCGCCAACGCAAGACTTGTGACATCGATCACTCATTTACAACCGCAAAACTTTTTGATAACTGCTATTCCTCCTTCTAGGCCACCACTACATGATTAAGAATGTTTTTTTTCCATTGAAAATAGATGAAATAGCTGTAACCTGTAAACCCATTCATCAATATTAAATTAAATTATATATCCTCCACACAAAAGTGAAAATGCAATGTCATATAAAGCGCTAGATCTTCACATTTTTCTCCACCAGACATGACTCATACACAGAATTTTGGGTCATGAAAAACCGTGATGACACAATGTTTCTTGAAGTCTTCAATTTAAAACCTTCTTGGTTTTTTCCCCTTTTTTTAGTGGCAAGGCAATCAAAGACAATTCATACACATCGCGATAAGCGAATCGTAAGGGTCGTTGAACTTTCAATCTGAAATAATTGCATTTCAAATATTTTTCGATGAAACTTAGAGCAGAAAATGTCACAAAAAGAATATTAAACTTTTGCTCAGGATTACCGGATGTTTGAAAATTCAAAGAACCTTCCCTGTTAAGCACTTTTGAAGCAATTTTTAACATTTTCGCTTTAAAATAATTAAATTTTCCATGTTTTTGACCTAGCCGGTAACGGACGATATATATTGGTACTTCATCATCTCTCTGGCGAATTATTCTGCTTGGAATTTCTCACATTTCTGGGACGTGCCAAGAAGGGATCCAAAAGTTGTAATTACCCACCATTTCTCAGCGGTGGTCTTGCTGTCGGGAATGTGGGTCGCTGGAGCACACAGAGTTGGCCTCCTAGTTTGCTTGACTCATGATGTCGGCGATATTCTATTAGAGGTAAGAGAAATAGCACATTACCAGTTGATTTTGTGACATTATGACTAAATGAGAGGCAACATAGCTAGGTGCACACAATTTTAAAAATCGTATCAAAACTTATTTTCTGTAACTCTTCTGTGCACTGGACGTTGGCGGATCCAGCAAACTGGCAACATGGTTTTTTCTCCATTTAAACCTATGGAAATGGATCGATTCTTGAAGAGGGCAGGTGCTCCGACAAGAATCGATTATTTAGCACAGGTTTAAATGGAGGAAATCCTGTGTTGCCAGATTACTGGATCCGCCCCTGGCTGGAAATGACGAAGTTTTGCATGGTCAACTACGTTTTAGCGCAATTCAAATACTGATCGTATTTAAAAGAAATATCTTGCAGGATTTTGTTAATTTCTTGTTCATGTTAACTATTATACATTAGTTTATGCATGTATGCATTGCGCGAGTACAAACTGATATGAGTGCGGTTCATGAGTTGCTCAGGTAAAACAAAGCTGCCGTGATAACAGTGAAGAGAGCAGTTAGTGCGAAAAATGAAGTTTTGAGAAAACGGGCTCTGAAGCCTCTGACCGGAACATTTAATTGAATGGACGATTAATAGGTTTAAATGGCAGATCAGTCGATGTACCGCAAAGCACGCCAGGCCACACTCCTTCATATCGAGAAGGAAGTTTTGCACAATACCCAAAAGAACAAGACTGATTCCTTGATCTGCGAATTTTGGGGCATTCCAAACCTAATTTTCCAACATGTAAAAGTCAAAGTAAGATGATTTTGGGCTCCCTCACGCTCATGAATTTTCCTCCTGGATATTCCTTTTTTACAGATTTCTTTATTCTATGGTTTATATTGTTCAGTTTCCTTTAACTTTCTATAATTCCCTGACTTTGACACTTTTTCTAACAGGCGTGTAAGTGCTCGAAATACCTTAATTTACTGAAAGCTAAAGCATGGTGGTTATGGATCTTTGCATTTTTCAACTGTGGAATATGGATCTTCACGCGGAATATCATTCTTCCTCTGCACATCATTCCAAGGTTTGTGTTTCAGAAGCTCTCTTGATTTTGTATATCATACCAGATTTTGTGCATTTGAGTATTTATGGAACAGTATGTGTGTTATATCAAATGTATGAAATCAGCAAAACGCGTTTTGGCAAAATACGCGCAAAAAACTCACCATGGATTCAGTGAAAAATTTGTATTGAGCTGTAAGTGTCTCTTTACTTCATCAATTTCGCCTCCTATTGTCTGATAAATAACAGTACTGAATTAGGAACATCTAAAGTTGAGAGATTACAGTAGAGTGTTAGTTGACTTCGATAAATGCCTAAAAATATCACGAAGCTCGCTTTGTTTTAAGGTGATTTTCTTCTATTCGTCAAAAATTCAGATGATCATGATAGAAGGCCCGCATTATAACGGCAATGATTCCAGTTTTTCGCTCATACATTTTTATTTAGAGGGTACCTACTATTTGATATTTTTGGATGTTTACGGAAGAATAATCTTGGAATAACAGATTAGGTAAGTATCATAATAAATCATATGTGCACATACTGATGAGGATACATGCACTACCAAAGCAATTTACCACCCAAATGATTAAAGCTTTTAGCTGGACTTTAATCATGGAATGAAAAAAACTCATCCATAAACAATGTTTTACACTGTTTTCATTTCGTATATTTTTACAAGATGATTAAAGATCTGCACGATTCTTAAGTAATTTCAAACTCTTGTTTCAGTATCTACCATTACTCTCCATTCAATTTACCTCAAACGTTCCCGCTGTCGTGTTTTCACGGATCATGCGACATCAGGTACGAATTTGAATTAACCCAAGCCAATCGAGCCAATTTTTAGTAATTATATATGACTCGCATCATCGCCTCGCATTATCCAAAAAAAAAAGAAAAGAAAAAGAGAAAAATAATATGAGGCGCAAAAATAAAAAAAAAAAAAACAATACAGAAAAATGTGTTTCTAGTCGTAATTTGTTTGTTATCGTGTCTTTCCAGCTTCATCCTGAATAGCACTGTCTGCGCGCCAACTAGTGGTACAGTTTCACAACTACATTTATCCTCCAAAAATTTCGCGCGAGATAGTAATCAAACTTTAAATTGGACGTATTTCTATCAAACGGAACTATGTGCATTATGGCGTGAGCCCTGTTATGCACATATGCTTATGGGTCTCAGGGCTCATGTCTTAATGCACATAGTTCCGTTTGACAGAAAGACGTCCAATTCAGACTCTGCGCAAGAATAGCACCTCTTTAGTGGAATAATCAGATAACAAGATACGAAATTAGCTTCATTTTAAACTTTGTCATCCTCAACCACACCCTTTTTTTAAAAATGACAACGACGAGCCGGCATTTGAAATTTTAAGTCAATACCTTTTAAATGGTGAACAAATTCAAGACATGAGAGCTTGTATAACTTGATGAGTTTCGCCTTAATCAGTGAAACGTAGAGGATAATTAACCATACAATTAATGTAGATTTTCTGGCGCTGTCACTAATTGAAACAACTCGTGATCTCAGTTACAGAACTGATACTCAGGAGGAACATCCTCATAAAATTCAAAGGTATAATTGGACAGCGTCTAGCAGAAGGGAACAAAGCCACATCAGCTTTGGCTAAATTGGACTAGGCAATTTATTTTTTTTTTACGAGAGAACGTTCGTGCGGATTCCTTTGAAAATCTTAAGAAATTTGCTTCGTACTACGCAAAAATTCACTGAAATTTGCACAAAAATCTGAACAACCCTTTTCGGGTAAAAAATTACAGTTTCCAAACAAATTTGGCAATGGATCGTATTCGATAGTGGTTCGATGTATCGTTTGGTTCAAAACAATGGGACACAACCACAAACCAAAATTTTAGGATACAAGTCAAAAATGAGAAATTTTGTAGCAATTTCACTATTATTAGCCAAATAGTACTCATACGAATCAAAAATCTATCACAAAAAACCTATTCCGTCAGAACACTCAATTGACTTTCGAGGCTATGTTTATGTTTTGAACCAATCGATATCGATACAATCTCACCCGTTTGATGTATCGAATACGATCCATGGCTGGTGTGGCTTGGTTTCGCTCTGCTTAACGCGGTCCAATTTCTTTTAGCCGTCAAATAAACGCATCATGCATAATAAAACATATCTAAAATATTGGTTTTTGTGAAAATGGTCTTTAACTCGAATAGTGAATAATGTAATCAATAGTTGAGTCTGAAAGCAAGTACTTTGTTCTAAGAATGATACAAAGTCACCTATATTTTTCACAGACAACTCTCATCATCATTATAGAATGGCAACGACGCATTCTCGCTTGTCTGTTTCCCCTTTTCTTTTTTACCTTTTTCTACTCATTGCATCCTCATTCCCCATGCATTCTAATGACTTTACAATGGGCCTGTTGCAAACTTTTGCTAGAGCAAAAATAAGAGTTGTTTCTTGTAGATAATGCCTCAAAAATCACGATGAGCGCATTGGCAAAGTCTGAAATGCACTCATAAATTCACAATCTGCGTAAGAAATTTGCGTTTTTTTAAGCTTCCCGCTTCAAAAACGATACTACGGCACAGGTGAACATTTTGTCAGAGGAGTCGCTCCATCGTCGGCGATATTCATCATGGCCGACGCTTGCGCGCAGTTCCGCGCGTAATTCGAGGAGAGTTCAAGGTCAATCAATTCGGGCGTGGAAAATATGAACGTTAACACACCGATTGTTATCTGGTCTAAATCCAGTTCAGGTGTTATCTCGTCCCATCAAACGTGTTTTGGCGTATTGGCGTCGGCCATGATGATTATTGCCGACGATGGAACGACTCCTCTTACAAAATGTTCACCTGTGCCGTAGTATCGTTTTTGAAGCGGGAAGCTCAAAAAACCGCAAATTTCTTACGCAGATTGTGAAGTTATGAGTGCATTTCAGAGTTTGCCGATGCGCTCATCGTGATTTTTGAGGCATTATCTATAAGAAACAACTCTTAGTTTTGCTCTAGCAAAAGTTTGCAACAGGCCCATAATGGTTCATCTTCTTTCAGCGCGTTCAAGTTCACTATGTGCCACGTTCTCTTCATTATGTTAGTGGGCATGAGCATTCTCCATGTGTACTGGACTGGCATAATGGTCCGAATTTCCTATCTCGGGCTCATCGTCGGAAAAGTAAGCTTTATAGTTTTTTGAACCGCTTTTTACTTCTTTTTGATGCATGGCAGTGGCGTGGCGCGCTTTGCGATTTATCGATTGATACGCCACTCAAACCTATGAAAAAAATCGATTATCAGGGTGTTCGCAGCGAACACCTTAGTAATCGATTCTTTACCATAGCTTCAAATGGCGAGATATCGATAATCGATCATTCACGCCACGCTACTGAATTGCACGGATGAGTATTTCTGTCCGTTATACTCACTGTAAAAAGAACTTTAATAAAAACATAAGAAACATAAGAACTTAAAAACATAAAAAAAACCATGAATTTAATCGATAATGAAACAGACAAAAAAGGAGCAGCCCGCAATATTACGAATGAGAAACTAGAGAAAATCGCGGAAACAAGGCTGGACACTAACATGAAAAATAAATGCAGGGAATCTGGACGACCTCACGGTATCCTTATCAACTGCTGAAAGAATAGACAAGAAATTAAAACTAAAAACAACTGTTAAAAAAAAACCTCGGCAACCACATTGTGATAGGATCAAATTGCAACCTTTTTGCATCTGATGGCAGTTTTATCATAGGACCATGTAATTACCGAGGTTTTTCAACATATTTTTGATTTTAGTTATAATTTCTGATCTATTCTCTCAGTTGTTGATAATGGCTCCGTAGGGTCGTCGAAATGTCTTGCATTCGTTTTTCGTGTTAGCTTTTAGCCGTGTTTCCGCGATTGCCCCCTGTTTCTCATTTAATTGGTTAAAATATGGATTAATTTGACGGGGTTTTACACTAACACTAGCGTGAATTCAATGACAAATCAATATCAATAATGATTTTCCACAAGAATCTTTTATTTTCTGCGGCAAAGGCACAGGGCGCATTGTGGGGGCTGTCTCCCGATATTTCCTTTTCAGTGGCGTGGCGTGCTTTGCGATATATCGATTGTTATGCCATTTAAACCTATGGAAAAGGATCGATAAACAGGATGTTCGCAGCGAACACCTTTATAATCGATTCTTTACCATAGGTTTAAATGGCAGAACAATCGATACATCGCAATTCACGCCACGCCACTGTTCCTTTTTTCTCATTTGAAAAACGGGAATACAGTAAATTAGCTCTCTCACAAATCTCACAAACCTATAGCCTCCTGTCTGAGTTGCTCCTGCACTTAAAAAAAATAGAGATAAAAAAAGACCTAATTCGATCAGAGAAGTAAAAAATTGACTTTACTTCATATTACTTATTTTTACTATTATTTAAGTATCACCAGTACTTTCCCGCATTGCCATTCCACGTGGTTTTGTTTTTCAGATGGAGGACGACACGCGCTCTATGTCGAGCTGTGATAATGATGATGAGGAGGATAATCATGAAAAGGGAATTAAATTGGACCGAACGAACTGCCCTGTCTAAAAATAATGGAAATTGGTGAGTTGTACACATTTTTGGCGTACTAATTTGCAATGAAAAAATGAAATTGCTGATTTAACTATTTTGTGGTTAAAAATAAAGTGTCCAAAATGTTTCAATGTAGATTTTAAGATAAAAAATGTTAATTCAACCACTTCCGTGTTTAAATTAGCTTTCCATTACTGTAAAGTGTACATTTGAAACATATCGGACATATTTTTTATCAATTTAATCGTTAAATCAGCCATCCATTTTTTCCGTGTGATTACATTTGAGGTCGATGAAAAAATACTTGATGTACCATTCAAAAGAAGCCAGTTCACAACCTGATAACACCGAATATTTTTTTTAGACATTGACAAATTTGATGAAATTCTACCTCCAGAACGTGCGTCCTCCCTCACTGTACTGTTTTGAACACTGTGGCCATCTTTCACAAGAAATTTTTTGCAAGCCTCTCCTATAGGGGTAGCCAGGGTCGAATTAAGGGGGTGGCCACTGGCCACATGGGCCGCGGCCCATGGCGGCAAATCTAGAGGGCGGCAAATTTTGCAATTTTTTTAAATGTAGGTATAAAAAAATATCGGATTTAGAAAAAAAATTACAAACGAGAAAAGGCGACAAAATCTCTCATTTCCCGAGAGTGTAGTAATTTTTAATTTTGTCGTCTTTCAGTGATACAAGAGACAGCACCTTTAATTAGTCGAGTTAAGAGAGAAACCAAACACGCATTTTGGCCTGGAACGGCGCGGCACAGAGAGCAATGATGACGAGGACTTGAGATGAAAAGAAGAAGCCATCGGCGCGGCGATCGTCATGTAACACATATCAGCGCCTACAAGACTGCACGAATACTTCACGCATTGCATCAAACGCAGTGCGATCATTACGGTCAGCGTGAAACGGATAGCGTCTACAAGAATGTATGAATACTTCACGCATTGCGCAAAACACGGTGCGGTCTGCGCGGCGCGGCGGCGGAAGTTAAAATCATTAAACCATATTCATGTTTGTTCTTTCATAATTTTTTCGTTCATTTCTTATGAATGGAAGGCCTTGTCCACACAGAGATAAGTTTACGGAACTTAACTTTTGCTAGTAGCGTTGACAGGGTATCCCCAAAAAATGTGTTCAACACGAGTAAACGCGTCTTATGCACCCCTCCCCCGCTGGCACGTTCACTTGATGGTTTTTATTGATGTTTCAATACGAATGAGAAGGGGGCGGCAAAATACAGGTGGCCCATGGGCGGCAAGTAGGTAAATCCAGTCCTGGGGGTAGCTGCACAAGGCTGTCTTGATATTTTTCATGGGCGGATCCCAGCGGCGCGGCGTGGCGTGAATGATCAATTATCGATATTTCCTCATTATTTTGAAGCTATGGTAAAGAATCGATTATTAAAGTGTTCGTCGCGAATACTCTGTTTATCGATCCTTATCCATAGGTTTAAACGGTGGAGCAATCGATATATCGCAAAGCGGGAACCTATATCGACGGTGAAACTACCAGACCACGTATCTCATTTGCGGTGTCTAAAAATCTGCGTTCCCATATTATGTTTTTAAAGGAGAACGAATCAATATCATTTCTTGAAATTTTTGAAGAGTTTTCTTCGCAAATAGAGGGAAAAAACGGAAGTTTTCAAGAGTTTACTTTCAGAAGTTTTCCATTTAAAAAGTAAAGTATGACAGGAAGTCCCCAACATCGCAAACCAAGATACGTGGTCTGTTAGTTGCACCGTCGATATCGTATGTAGAATCAAAGCGGGTGCTCGTATTGCCAAAAATGGACTATCCTCTGACGTAAGGGCGTATCTCGATTTACGCATGAGCCCCGGAAGGCATAGAATCATATGGGAAACAGGGCTCACGTGGAAATTGAAATACGCCCTCACGTCAGCGGAGCGATGAAATGGACTACCCGCTCGTCCAGATCGTTGAAATTACGTTGTGTTTAAATGGACGATGCCTTTGCTGTCAGTCCTACTGTTAAGTTTACTTTAAGTTTTACTGATTTAATCAGCGTTTTGGTTCTCTGATCTTTGGATTTTGTGTTAAAAATTGTATTAGGTCTATTTTTATGACATCTTTTCTAGGTTGCATTGCAACATAAATCGCCGTCCGTAAGTCACTGAACTGGCCATCCGGATGTAAGAGCTGACGGATCGAACAAATGAGGAGATGATATTATTGAAGTAATTAATGGAGCGACCGGTCATGTAGAAGAAGTGAGGGGCATTGATAATGATTGGACTGGACACGCATCTTGTCGTCGCTTCATGTTTTACTGGCAAGACAACACGGAAATGAAGGTCAAGGAGATAGGTGCGAGTGCGTTTGTCAATGGTGCGACTATAAAATTACGCATCTCAATTGCGGATTTCCAAAATTTTAGCTCATTTTCCTATTTTTTAGCAGATTTTATTAAACTATGGACGCATGAATGCTAATCACTGAAAAAACAAGTTCGGTCGCTCGAACCAAAATTGGGTGATCCTTATCATCCCAACTAAATCGGTTTGCAAAACTCAACTTCCAGTTCGTGCAACCCAATTGTGCGGTAAAGCTAACTAACAAACAAAGATCGGTCACACGAACCGAAAGTTCAGTTTGAAAAACCGATAGTTCAGTTTGACAAACCGAAAGTTCAGTTTGGCAAGCCAAAAGTTAAGTTTGACAAACCGAAAATGATGTGAAACACCGAACGTTCGGTCCATACGACCGATTTTTTTTTTCGGTGAAGAAGTCCGGGCGTTCGCATAATTTTTTTCTGGAGTACACGATGGCCCAAACCTATGATGCCGCACTAAGGAAGAACGGCATATGGACCTTCAGGAGTTGCCAAATTTGCCTTCATAAAACACGAATTTCCTGGTCATCTTATGAATCTTTTTCTTCCAATTTTTCAGATAAGTTTGCTCGCAATTCCACCGAAACGTCCTGAAAATTTCAAGGGAAAATATTTATAATAGTCTGTTCTCATATGTACATCCGTGTGCAACTTTCTGAAAAAAGTTGGTGAGTGGTATCAATCTCTTCGTTATGATGTCTAGAATCAGAATTTGGATGGTGATAACCTTGAAAATCGTGCAGGAAGCGCCTAAAGCCTAAAAACAAAATGGCGGCCGCTCGGTAGGCCTTATTTTTGAAAATTCCGTATTATGGCATGTGAGGTATCGATTCCTATGTTTTTTGGGTCGTAAAATCCGAATATGATGTTTAAAATACCCTCCGATCAAAAAAAATGTCGCAAATCCAACATGGCGGCTGAAAATACCCACCCGGCGCGAAAATCGCTGAGTTCTCATTTGGCCGTCTAGTAAGGCGGCCAATGATTGTATTGTGTGGTCCCAGGTTTCAAAACAGAGTTACAACTCACTGTACGGCCCATAAAAAAAAACCAAAATCCAATATGGCGGCCAAAATGGCCGCCGATCGAAACCTGTATTTTTGGTATCGGCGTATGGCGTCGAGTGGGGTATCGTTTTTGATGTATTTTGGGTCGCACATTACGAATATGAAGTCAAAAATTACTCTTGGCCAATATTGAAGCTCGTAAATTCANGCGTTGGGACCCAAGGCCCATTGTTCTTCGTGACGCCGACGCAGTGATCAGGAGCGTGGGGACGAGAGGGCTTAGTGGACTCCTGTATGAGCCACGTTTAGCAAATGGTCTAATGAGTCTCGAGGCTCATCACAGATTGCACTTACCACTATCCTGGTGGCCCCGGCTATCAGAGCAAGGAGTACCAACTTTTGAAAAGGATAACAGTGTTGTGGAGATATGTCAAAGCAACGTTGTGAACAAAACGGAGTGAGTGAAATTCTCATTCAAGGAGTGCCGAACTGGTCAGCCATCCTCGAATCAGTTCGCTTGCTTCCGCTTATATATGCATATTTTAAATCAGCGCGCCCCATTCTAAGGTTTTTTTAAAAAAAACCAAGAAACGTAGACTCTTGGTATTCATTACACATAAACTAGCGAGCCCCAGAATGAGAAACAAATTTTAATCATTATTATTGACGGATTAGTAAACTTTTTACACGCTTTGGAAAATCTCAGAAGTTCGCGGTAGTCACTTTTCGGTAAGGAACTAGGGGACTCGGTTATTGTATCGAGGGGGGGGGTCGAAACGATCGCAAAGGCGGTATACTACGTATACGCGCCAATATACTACGTATACGCGCCAAAATTGACTTTACTTCATATTACTTATTTTTACTATTATTTAAGTATCACCAGTACTTTCCCGCATTGCCATTCCACGTGGTTTTGTTTTTCAGATGGAGGACGACACGCGCTCTATGTCGAGCTGTGATAATGATGATGAGGAGGATAATCATGAAAAGGGAATTAAATTGGACCGAACGAACTGCCCTGTCTAAAAATAATAGAAATTGGTGAGTTGTACACATTTTTGGTGTAAAGCACTGATTTACAATGAAAAAATGAAATTGCTGATTTAACTGTTTTGTGGTTAAAAATAAAGTGTCCAAAATGTTTCAATGTAGATTTTAAAATAAAAAATTCTAATTTAACCGCTTCCGTGTTTGAATTAGCTTTCCATTACTGTAAAGTGTACATTTGAAACATATCGGACATACGTTTTATCAATTTAATTGTTAAATCAGCGAAAAATCGATGAAAAAATACTCGATGTATCATTCAAAAGAAGGCAGTTCACAACCTGATAACACCGAATATTGTTTTTAGACATTGACACAATTAGTGGAATTCTACCTTCAGAACGTGCGTCCTTCCTCGCTGTACTATTTTGAACACTGTGGCCATCTTTCAAAAGAAATTTTTGCAAGCCTCTTCTATAGGGGTAGCCAGGGCCGGATTAATGGGGTGGCCACATGGGCCGCTGCCCATGGCGGCAAATCTAGAAGAGGCAAATTTTGCAATTTTTTAAATGTAGGTGTAAAAAAATATCGGATTTAGAAAAAAAATTACAAACGAGAAAAGGCGACAAAATCTCTCATTTCCCTAGAGAGTATGGTAATTTTTAATATTGTCGTCTTTCAGTGATACTTGAGACAGCACCTTTAATTAGTCGAGTTAAGAGAGAAACCAAACACTCAATTTGGCCTGGAACGGCGCGGCGCAGAGAGCAATGATGACGAGGACTTGAGATGAAAAGGAGAAGCCATCGGCGTGGCGATCGGCATGTAACACATATCAGCGCCTACAAGACTACACGAATACTTTACGCATTGCATCAAACGCAGTGCGATCATTGCGGTCAGCGTGAAACGGATAGCGCCTACAAGAATGCATGAATACTTCACGCATTGCGCAAAACACGGTGCTGTCTGCGCGGCGCGGCGGCGGAAGTTAAAATCATTAAGCCATATTCATGTTTATTCTTTCATAATATTTTCGTTCATTTCTTATGAATGGAAGGTCTTGTCCACACAGAGATAGGTTTACAAAACTTAACTTTTGCTAGTAGTGTTGACAGGGCATCCCCAAAAAATGTGTTCAACACGAGTAAACGCGTCTCATGCACCCCTCCCCCACTGGCACGTTCACTTGATGGTTTTTATTGATGTTTCAATACGAATGAGAAGGGGGCGGCAAAATACAGGTGGCCCATGGGCGGCAAGTAGGTAAATCCAGCCCTGGGGGCCTGGGGGTAGCTGCACAAGAGGCTGTCTTGATGATATTTTTCATGGGCGGATCCCAGCGGCCCGGCGTGGCGCTGAATGATCGATTATCGATATTTCTCCATTTGAAGCTGTAGTAAAGAATCGATTAATAAGGTGTTCGCCGCGAACACTCTGTTTATCGATCGATTCTTATCCATAGGTTCAAACGGCGGATCAATCTATATATCGCAAAGCGGTAACCTATATCGACAGTGAAACTACCAGACCGCGTATCTCGTTTGCGGTGTCTAAAAATCTGCGCTCCCATTTTATTTTTTTAATGGAGAACGAATCAATATCATTTCTTGAAATTTTTGAAGAGTTTTCTTCGCAAATAGAGGAGAAAAAACGGAAGTTTTCAAGAATTGACTTTGAGTAGTTTTCCATTTAAAAAGTAAAGTATGACAGGAAGTCCCCAACATCGCAAACCGAGACACATGGTCCGTTAGTTTCACCGTCGATGTATGTAGAATCAAAGCGAGTACTCGTATTGCCAAAAATGGACTATCATCTGACGTAAGGGTGTATCTCGATTCACGCATGAGCCCCGGAAGGCATAGAATCATATGGGAAACAGGGCTCACGTGAAATTTGAGATACGCCTTTACGTCAGAGGAGCGACAAAATGGACTATCCGCTCGTCCAGATCGTTGAAATGGGATGGGCCACTGTACAAGGTACGAATTAAAGGATTCTGATACATGTTTCTTGACCAAAATTTTACGCAGAACACGATTCGCGCAATGAAAATGACTGAAACCAACACCTAACGTAAATATTGACGTTTTTATTTCACATTGGCTACAAGGACTTTGAAATGCCCACTCACAAACTCAAAGCTCTACGTGAGTCAAATCGCGCACTACAACGGTTTCAGCAATCTTCTCAATCAAGCAATATTCATTTCCCACCATGTGTTGATCAAACTATAAGCAATTTGCTATAGCTGAGTCAAATGGTCAAGATGGAGATTGCCAAATTTTTATATCGCAGAGTCATGATGAACGTTTAGCGCGCGATGTGAATCACGTAGAGCATTGAGTTTTCATGAGCGGGTGGTTTCAACTCACGCATCAAGAATTATTGAATATCTTCGTAAGGAGTCAATTTCGGTGATTTTTGTTGTGCGCATCGCGTTCTACGTGAAATTTTGGTTAAGAAGCATTTATCAGAATGCTAATTTGTACCTTGTCTAGTGGTCCATTATACGTGTGTTTAAATGGGCTATGCCTTTGCTGTCAGTCTTACTGTTAAGTTTACTTTAAGTTTTACTGATTTAATCAGCGTTTGGGTGCTCTGATCTTTGGATTTTGTATTAAAATTGTATTAGGTCTATTTTTATGACATCTTTTCTAGGTTGCATTGCAATATAAATCGCCGTCCGTAAGTCACTGAACTGGCCAACCGGATATATAAGCTGACGGATCGAACAAATGAGGAGATGATATTATTGAAGTAATTAATGGAGCGACCGGCCATGCAGAGGAAGTGAGGAGCATTGATAATGATTGGACTGGACACGCATCTTGTCGTCGCTTCATGTTTAACTGGCAAGACACCATGAAAATGAAGGTCAAGGAGATAGGTGCGAGTGCGTTTGTCAATGGTGCGACTGTAAAATTACGCATCTCAATTGCGGATTTCCAAAATTTTAGCTCATTTTCTTATTTTTTAGCGGATTCTATTATACTATGGACGTATGAATGCTAGACACTGAAAAAACAAGTTCGGTCACTCGAACCAAAATTGGGTGATCCATATAATCCCAACTAATTCGGTTCGCGTAACCGCATTGTGCGGTAAAGTGAACTGTCAAACAAAGTTCGGTCATAAATGCCGAACGTTCGGTTTCACGAATCAAAAGTTAAGTTTGACGAACAGAAAGTTCAGTTTGGCAAGCCAAATGTTCAGTTTGACAAACCGAAAATGATGTGGAACACCGAACATTCGATTCATACGACCGAATTTTTTTTTTCGGTGAAGAAGTCCGGGCGTTCGCATAATTTTTTTCTGGAGTACACGATGGCCCTAACCTATGATGCCGCACCTAGGAAGAACGTCATATGAACCTTCAGGAGGGTACAAGGACTTTATGTCCACTTTTTTTACGTCCACATAGACTTTTCGTCCACAATTTTTACGTCCACGGTTCTAAAGCTCACACTATTGTTAAGTCCATTACTTAAACGTCCACTAAGTTAAGTCCACAAATGTAAAGTCCACTAAAATCAAATTCAAGCGTCATGTTTTAGTCCGTGTGTATATTGACAATATCGAAATGAGAAAATTAAGAGAGAATGAGGTGTTGTTATCGTAACTCGTATTTTAAAAGAAATGTTAATTTCTTCTTTTGATTCATCTTTTCAACTTGTCATTGGTAAATACTTGGTTTCATTTCTATCCTTGAAATTTCCGATTTAAAATATGCCTTAAAATAATGTACATTCTTTTTTTTTAATGAAATTGATTACTTCGTTTTAAAAGCATTTACATTTTTAAAACGTGGTAAATATTTGTAAAACCTTTTCCAAGCGATGGCATCGATATGAATCTTAATGAGCCGTAGTTGTGATGAAAGAAACTATACAAAAATTAATAAAAGAGGAAAAAAACTAAGAAGCACGCAATTTTTTGTTTTTAACTTATTTGTACATCGACCTCCTTGAGTCCAATACGTCCAATTTTAAGCGTTTGGTTGCGCTTACACCACGCTGCAGCACAGTAAAAGCCCAAAACATAAAATAATACATTTGAATGCTTTGGAAATCATTAAATTTGATACGGAACCACTATTATATTTACAAAAAACACATTATATTTTCCAGTAGTACATATTTCTTTTTTATCAATTTAAATAAGAATAATTCATGCAGAGTTTTCAAACATTTCAAAATTATGAGTTGAAAAACGCTGACTCCGCGAGTTTAAATATTAGAGCTAAACACAGAGCGGAGCGGCGTGTTGGCAGTGCAGAACGCGCACTGGCGCCTACAAACCTAACGGGATACTTCACGCATTGCGCAACGCGTGAAGTATCCCGTTAGGTTTGTAGGCGCCTATGCGCGTGTCACGCTGGTTGCCTGCCGCGCCGCAACGCTTTGAGCAACTATTTCGCGTCAGAGGCGTTGCACAGTATCCTACAAGATTGAAAGCGCACGAAATAACTAGTTATAGAGGACTTTCAATTTTGACTGCATCTGTTACTGAAATATGTTTAATTTTGGCATTGGAGCGTTTCCTAGGCTCCCGCTTTGGTTTTCGTCTTATCATATCCGTACGGTGTACACATGAACATATGTTTTTATCTGCTCTTAGAGTCTGTCCTCTTTCATGACTTGATTCATGAATGAAATGTTTTTAAGAATGAAGGTAGTAGTAATATGCATTTATTTTTGAGTGGTTCCTGTCATTTAAATGAGAAGTAAAAATAACATGTCCACAATTTTGACAATTTTGGACTTATTCGTGGTTGAACATTAAATCATGTGGACTTAATAAAGACTGGACTTAACGTTTAGTGGACATAAATAGCGGTGGACATTTATTTAATGGACGAAAGGTAGGTGGACATAAAGTCCTGGAAGCTTCAGGAGTTGCCAAATTTCCCTTCATAAAACACGAATTTCCTGGTCATCTTATGAATCTTTTTCTTCCAATTTTTCAGATAAGTTTGCTCGCAATTCCACCGAAAAGTCCTGAAAATTTCAAGGGAAAATATTTATAACTTTCCTCGAAAATTACCATTAAATCGAAGGAAATGTGGCAACTCTAGAATGTTCTTACGGCGTTCTTACTCAGCACGGCAGTATGGCACCAAGCTTTCTTATCGGTTATTTTAGGCCAGACGAAGTGCAGGACCGCGGGAACGAACCAGGAACTGACCTCGACGAATCCGAATCACATAGTCCTGGATCCCTATCAGACCCTCTTGAAGAAGTACTTCAAAAAATGGGGTTTACGTGAAAAATTTGAAATTATTTCATCGGATACAGAGACCTGTATCGACACCATAAAATGCAATGTCGGCCCATCCATGCCCGTATTACAGATTTCTAAAGATGGGGGACATAATGCCCCCTCAAAAAATGCAAGTTTGCTTAATTGACGTAAAGGCTCGGAAAATAGATATTTTATGGGTAGTCGACCCCAAGGAATCCGAATTTGACGGTCCCGTCGTCCACATGCAGAGGCTTTTCTGATGAGGTTCAGTGGCGTGGCGTGCTTTGCAATATATCGATTGATCTGCCATTTAAGCCCATGGAAAAGGATCGATAAACAGAGTGTTTGCAGCGAACTCCTTAATAATCGATTCTTTACCATAGCTTCAAATGGGGAAATATCGATAATCGATCATTCACACTTCTCCACTGATGAGGATCAGAGGGACAATCAAATTTGGATTCCTTGAGATCGATTACCAATAAAAACATCTACGTTAATTTTGCGAAATTCCATTTTTTTTTTTTTTTTTTTTTTTTTTTTTTTTTTTTTTTTTTTAAGGGAACTGTGTCCCCCACCTCTGAGGGTAAGTATTTTTTTTTTTTACTACTTCAAATACCACACAAGTGGTAATACTTGCGCTTCCAGTTAGAGCCCCTCCCCCTCCGTCCCTACCATGTACCAGCCCAAGGCAACCGTTGTTTGAGACCATCAAACTCGGGTCGCCTAACCGGGAATCGAACCCGGGACCTCCTGATTGTATAGCCAGCGCTACAACCACAGGAGGCCGACATTTATTTCGGACAAGGAGGGGCTGATTTTGAATTTCTTGGTGTCGATTTAGGTTAAAATTTTCCAGGCTCTCTGATCCCGTTGAAATAATTTCAAAATTTTTTTCGTAAATACATAAATTTTGAAGTACGTAACCTCAAACCTCCTCCAAGAGAGTGTAGCTCCCGGGGTATCACAAATGAAATACTTCTTGTTCATGCAGGTTCACTGCTCTTGAAGTTTTAGATTCATTGTTATATTCCCAGAAATCAGAGCGTCAAACATCTCTTCACATTTTATCCTAATCGTCAGGTATTTAACCTCAACATTTTCCTTTCTTCTATTCATATATGTATGGTAACCTGTATTACGACAAGTCTGAATTTACAAAATGAAAGTCTTGCTGTCGTGAGCCAAAAGTTACGAGGGTCAATAACATCCTTGCCTCGTGTTTCTTCTTAAATATGCCTGACTATAATAATAACACCGCTAACTGGTTGGGCATTGTGAATATTGTTGTTTCATACTCCGTTTCTGGTCTAAAACAGGATTGAGCCACCAGCCATGGTGGGTCATCATTCATCTACGGAAAACCGGTATTGCCGTGGATATCTGTAATAATATCAAGAGTGACTCCGCGGCTTATTATACATAGATATTATATATAGATATGTATTCTACCTGCGAGCCATGAATGCAAATGAAGGATTCAAGGGGATCCTAATTGGTGGGGATTAAAGTTAAGTGGCGCACGAAATGAACCAGAAGCGCCCACTACAAGCAAACTATTCGTATTCATGTCTGATTTTAACCGCCATATGCGCGGAATTTAGTGCCATAATCCGTTGTAGAGGGAGGCTGCGGCGCTTGTTTCAGTTTTCTGGGTACGAGAGCCGAAATAACACAGGTACAGTTCCCCCTGAAATGAGAAGAAAAATTAATGTACAATGCAATGTTTACGTGAAAAAAAAAAGACCTACAGTGTAATCAAGCGTATGATCTTTTGGAGCGATCTTAAATTACGTAACGCACTTCTCTAGACCCCCCCCCCCCCATTCCTCCTCGTACCGTGTCATAACGCAGACTCATACCCCCTTCCACCCCATATAGCGTTACGTAAATGTAAGCTTTCTTCCATGTAAAACGGTCAGTGATCATTATTTAAAGATATACTTTATACTATAAATTATTTCTAAAATTCTATGATCATAGGTTTTTCTGTTTCTAAAATTAGTTATTCCACTTCAATGTTCCACTAGTTGTTAGAAATAAAATTTTTGTAAGACTGAAATATGTTCGGAATTTTTTGTCTGTGAAGAAAAATTCATTTTTTCAAAAACAAAAAGCATATATTTTCACCCACTAATAGTAAAATTCGGCCGATAAAAAAGTTAAATAAAATCCAGTTAAAATGAGAACAAAGTAACTGTATTCACACGGTGACCGATGACAAGAAGACCAAGGCACTGAGACGTGGTGTTACATTACAAGTAAGTGTGATTGTTAGCAAGAGATCAACTTTTTATGGCAAGGGAGATCAACTTAATTTACATAGACTCTCACTCGTGCCCAGCAGACTTGTTGGTTTTCCGGTTTTCAATCGGACGACAATTTCGGGAATAAAGAGGGAGTAGAAATAATAGTCCCTGGAACTTGTGACATAACACGAGTCAATACTTAATCGGTTTCCCGCAATCGTAGTGGAAAATTTTTCTCCGATACAATGAAGATCAATTACGATGTTTGCGGCGTAATCCGCCGACGAAGACTGGCTGAGATGATTGGAATGTCGACGGGACACAGCGATCTACTCCTGCTTAAATTATGCGTTTCACAGTCCGTTCTCAGCAATTTCATTCTATGTATTACGCTAAAACCATCGTGACCTCTAAAAACCACAAAACAACTTTTGTGAACTCTCAAACAGGGCATCCTCCTCTCCATTTTGCGTCATCGCAATGAGAACTTCAAATGAGCTTCATTTTGAAATAAGGAACTACAACAAATTTCTGGGCACCGCCCTGCGTCCGATTCCGCCCTTGCCGATTGCCTACTTTTAGAATAACATTATTTTAAAAATAGGCCGGGGCCACTTACAAAAAAGGCAACGTCGCAGTAATCAGAGCAGCAGAAATTGAATTTGGGAGATCGTTATTCCTATAAAATGCATTCACATAAGTTCAGCTATCTCAATGTCCTAATTTTTTTTATTTTTTTATTTTTTTTTTTATTATTATTTTTTATGCCGGATTTTGATCGACTCTGTAGCTGCATCTAAGACCCTGAAACAATCAAAAACATACAGATAATAGAAGCAAGAGAAATAAGTATTGCGAAACTCTCTCGTGCTGACACTGAAAACGCTATCTTCAATTGTGCTGTGAGCTGTAAAAAAGCCAAATGCTTTCCTGTAATATTTTGTGTTATAATTCTCCTTAATTTAAACTATTGACTTTATGACGCGTTGGAATCTTTACGCCCGATAAGTGCCTAATTTTTCCATTATTATTACTCTCTACACTTCACTATTATTTTACATTTGACTGGCCGACAAATACGATAAGAGGAAAGGGGAGGAGCTAGAAAGTTCCCTATATTCGTATAGTTGAGTCCAAAATTTTACATTAGCCTAAGAGGGCACTAAAAATGTTTCCACCGAACTTTCACAAACTTCATAACCTTCGAACTTATGTTGACATATTCTTTTGACACTACTGAAAATTTTAGTCATCCTGCCTGAAAATCAGTCATTTTGTCCCTCTTGTAAAAGTTCGTCACATGGATTTACGCGTCTGACCCTAGGTCAACACTATCGTGCTAAGGAAAAACGCCGTACGAGCCCTCAAACGTTGCCAAATTCCTTCGATAAAACACGAATTTCCTGGTAATTTACAGATATTTTTCTTCCAATTTTTCAGATAATTTTGCTCGTAATTTCACCTAAATTTTCTACAATTTTGAGGAAAAATATTAATAACTTACTTGAAAAATGAACATTTTACGGAAGGAAATTTGACAACTCTCGAATGTTCATACGGCGTTCTTCCTTGGCACGGCAGAAGAGGTCCCGGGTTCGAATCCCGGTAATGACGTCAAATTTTCACGGAACTGACGATTGGATCTGCAGAAACAGATTCACTCGGCCTCAATCCCTGAAAAGAAAAGCCTGGCCCTGGAGCATGGATATATATCCCTATCGCCCTAAAAAAATCTACCACTCTATAGACGGCTTAGAGCACCTGTATGCGGGAGAGTATTGTCATCTCTGTGCCGCTCTTTGATTGATCCATCAGTTTTGGAGCTCCAAAGTTGGCCCAATGTAAACAGACCCGTCCCGGAAGAACACGTGTTATCGGCTGAGAAATGAATAACAATCACACTCAAAGCTTAATTTTTGGCAAACATATCCATCAAAGTTCGATACGAACTCAATTCAAAAGTTGGATATAAAAAAATTCCTATCACACCCAAAATCACGTCCAGAACTTTATAGAACTTTTCTGTCATCTTGTTTGTTTACATTGGGCCAAACTAGGAGCAGAGGGGCTGAGGTTTGTTTACATTGGACCATCTTTGAGGCTCCATGATAGCCGATCAATCACAGAGGGACACACTTTTTCTGTAGTAAAAGGATCATTGAGATGACAATACTCTCCCGTATATAGGTACTCAAAGCCCGCCAGCAAAAAAAAAAAAAAAAAAAAAAAAAAAAAAAAAAAAAAAAAAAAAAAAAAAAAAAAAAAAAATGAAGAACAATCACACTCAAAGCTTAATTTTCGGCAAAAATATTCATCAAAGTTCGATCCGAACTCAATTCAAAAGTTGGATGAAAAAAAAATTCATCACACCCAAAATCACGTCTAGAACTTCGTGGAACTTTTTCGCCATTCTTGTTTGTTTACATTGGGCCAAATCAGGAGCAGAGGGGCTGAGGTTTGTTTACATCGGACCATCTTTGGGGCTCCACGATAGCCGACCAATCACAGAGGGACACACTTTTTCTGCGGTAAAAGGATTATTGAGATGACAATACTCTCCCGTATATAGGTACTCTAAGCGCGCCAGCAGACAACAAAAAAAAAAAAAAAAAAAAAAAAAAAAAAAAAAAAAAAAAACTTTAGGTTATGAATCATTCACACGCACGCACTGAACGAGGCCCATGGCAGCAAGTGCGAAAAAACCCCACCGAAGCAGAACTGAGAGGCTACGATCGGATTAATGGACTACGCACATCAAGACTCCCCGCCTCGCGCCGCGGTTGTTATGAAACCGCTTGTTATGTCTGGACACTTGATTCACGCAAAACAAAAACTTAAATTCAAATTTTAAAATCCCGGAGACGCGGAAATAGACGAGCCCGGGCGGCGGAATTGCTGAAGCACGGCGCTGGAGCGAAGTTGTCTACATTAAAAAATGTCGGATAGATGATTCCATCCCGGAGCTGGCGCCTCCGTTTTGCCGCCCCCAGGCTCTGCTCCGGTTGATGCTGCTGGATGCTACTTCAGCCGTGCTAAGCAAGAACGCTGTAAGAACATTCCATGGTTGCCAAATTTATCTCGGTTAAATTTGTATTTTTAAGAAAAGTTATGAATATTTTTCCTTGAAATTTTCAGGAACTTCAGGTGAAATTGAGAACGAAATTATCTGAAAAATTGAAAGGAAAATATTCATAAGTTTCCCAGGAAATTCGTGTTTTATGACAGGGAATTTGGCAACGTCTGAAGGTTCATACGGCGTTTTCTCCTAGCGCGGCAGAGTTGCGCGGCCTTGATTTTTCCGCGGTTTGCTGATCCATCTGTTGGATCCATCTGAGGTGACTAAACGGATTTTCTTATAGTACTCATTGAACCCCACCATGAGGTCGGTCCTCGTCACAGGCGCCTGAAGTGTGTCCCATAAATCGTGTGTGTGTGTTTTTTTTGTTCCGTGAAAACTGGAGATACCCGTGGGACGCGTGCTCCTGTAAGTGTGTGTGTTTTTTTTTCTTTTTTTTTTGTGCGTGTTTTCTGTGGCGATGTCTCCATTATTTTTTTCATGCGATGGAACGTCCGAGTTTGTGTCAGAAAAAAGCGATTTTTTTCCCCGCAGTGCTCCAATTGGGTTTTAAATCTTCCTTTGGTGTGGATTCATAGACGCATCCGAGGATAAAAAATTAAAAGTTGGCATCGATTCTTTCCTGAAAACGCGTAACTTTGGTTTGCGACGCTGCAGATTCCTTTTCATAATTTATTATCTGAATGTATAAATACACTATGCACCATTCTTGGTTCATTTTGTTTGTGTGAAGATTATTCTGAGAAAATTTCAAGCAGTAGTTTTGGTATGTTCTCCCTCGCTAAAAAAACATGAGAGCGAAGATTTTGAAACACTGCAAAGGAGTTACGCGTTTTTGCAATTTCAATTCGATATTTTGTCTACCTATAAATGAATACAATAACAACAGTATGAATCGTCTTTTTTTGTGAATCTATAAATATTCAGTTGGAAAATGAAGAAATACAAGCAAATGATAAAATAAAAAAACGTGTACAAAATGAAACATGTATTTAATAAACCGTGGCCATGTTTTTTCTGCTTATAAAAAGTAGCTCATTTGTATCAGTCTTTTTCTTAGGTATATCATCTATTTTACGTAATCAATGGCGCAATGAGGGACGTAAGGCTCCAAGGTTTCGACTGACTCAACATTTCAGAAGGTCATTTTTTTTAAAATTAACATTGTGCGATACGATTTACTGTACCTAACTTTTTTTCCGAAAAAATAAGTAACAGAATCTCCTGGGATTATGAGGAGAGCATCATCATAAGAGCCGGAGGCGGAATTCCCTCGTTCCCTCAATTCACAACAATTCAAACATTTCACTTATACGACTGATTTCTCCTGGTGTGAAAGTAAATAACGTTAAATTGTTCATCAGGTTTCAGCCATCGTGAGGTACTAGACTAGAGGGTGACCTCCCAGTCTAATTCCTGGCCGGAACTTGTAAAATCTAGATATATTTGTTCACACACAATTTAAAAAAAGTTGCAAGGTCTCTCCGCTTGAATAAGCAACATAATGATGCAATAGTGTATTAGTTCATTTTAGAGAGTGGCCTTGGCAACAATGATCATTCAACACACGTCTGCAATAAAGTTATAGGGTTTATTACAAAATAACTGAAAATGCGCGCTAAGTTAAGTTGTACTTTTAAGTATAGGCTGACAGCTGCTGGCTGACAGCCTCTAGCTGTCAGCCAGCAGTATAGGCAGTATAGGCTTGTGAGAGAAATGAAATGGAAAAATCTAAACACTGAGTTTTGTGATTTTAACAAAATGGTTCAATAACGAATTGCTAAATCAATAATAAAAAGGAACATGCGCTCAAGAGAAAGAAAAAAGGGAGATAGACCAGGATTAGGATTATTAATAAGGACCATTAGTTTTGCCTTTCTATCAAAAATCTTTCAATAACTGTATATTGAATGACGACGATAATGAAACTACAGGAACGTGGTATGTAATTGGACTGCATTTTGCAATAAGGAAATACAATATCCGACTCATCAATTAAAAACACGCACGTACACAAGGAGACTAATAGAACATACGTCGTTTCTAAAGTAAGCCAGACATTGTATTTCTAAGTTTTCAAAATGTAGTCCAATTGAGGTGTTTCAAAATCTACGCTTCCATATTTTATTTTATCGAAAGAGGACAACAAACCAAAGCCTTTGCTTTGGTACTTTCCTAATAATCCCTAGCACAGAGAGGATTAATGAAGAATTTGCAAGTGTCTGAACTTTTGTAAATGTTTGAGCGAAACTCTAACAGAACTGAGCATAAGCATCTCCTTGGTTTCTAAATTGGAAATATTTCTTCCAAAAGGAACCTTTGTGCAATATGAAGTGAGCTCTGTTATGTATATATTTTTACGGGTCTCAGGGCTCATGTCTTAGGTGCACATAGGCAGAATCACGTCCAATTTAACAAGTAACGGAGAAAATACGACAAAAAACCTAATGAGTTAATATACATGTGTTTTTATCGGAAATGCTGCCAGATGACGCCACAAGGCGGCATATTTTCTCACTTTTAAATCCATTTTTCTACATAATCCCATTTCAGAAGAAAATTATGGAAAACACTGCGAACTCAGCTAATAAAGCACTTTAAAATGAAGCAATACAATTTTTCTGTGAAAATCCCCCTTAGGGAAGTTTTCAAGAAATACCGTTATATGTTCCCGATTTAAAAATGAAGTATGAACGGAAGTCTGAAATGTCATGAACCGAGATACGCTTTCTTACTTGCTTTTTCATCAAAAATAAGCTTTTCGACCACCCCAAGTAGGAAGGTGTGTGCGAAAGTCACCGTTTATTATCATGGGTCGTTGGATTTGATTCAAAATATTGTCCTCAACAAGCTCAAAACAGACGAAAATGAATCTCGATCATCAAGCTGATCATCTCAGGAGGACTCTCCTCCAAAAGATTTAATTTTACTATATACGAAGTATACAGGAATAAAGACATCCGATCAGAGGGCAAAAAAGTGCATCAAAGATGCACATTAGTGCACGGGAAATTGATCATGTAAGTAAACATAAGAATCGACGTGTTTCTACCGTGCTAAGGAAGGCACTGATCGAGCACTTGAACGTTGCCAAACTTCCTTTGATAAATTATATTTAATTTTTAGAAAAAAGTCGTGGACTGCTGAAAATTTTCAATTAAATTGCGGATAAAATTCTCCAAAAAACTCGAAGTAAAAATTCACAACTTTTTCAGACATTTTATGTTTCTCGTTGTGTTATATTAGGCATAGTTTGGCAACGGCTTACCGCGTTCTTCTTTGTAGTTGCAAAGTTTTACCACGTCAAATTTACAACATGTAGAGAGTAATTATTTATAGAATAAGTTACCGTCCATTTACTTATTGATTTACTCCTCGAGAGGGTAGGTGCCAGGCCTTAAGCTTTTTTCATTGATGATTTTAAAGACCACTAACTAACATTGGCCCAAGTTTCGGATACAGCAAAAGTTAAATTCAGCTCTGGTTACAAGTTGATCATATATCAAGTATGACCTTCACTCTGAGGTGTCGGTACATTTTTACTCTGCATGTCGTCTACATTTCCCTGGAAGTCACGTGGCATATCCATATTTCTCAGTGAGACGTGTGTAGATTGAAAAAAAAAGAAAAAAGAAAGAAAAAAAAAGAAAATGGAGCAATGCATTGATCATCTACAATGTTTCACAAAAAAAAACTGTGCGCACAGCGTGGGTCTTGCCAGATGCATGGCAGGTCCGAAAAAGAGCTCAAAATTTTTACTCTAATCAATTTTTTGGAATTCTTCAGCGTTGCATCATCCCCAGCAAATTAGTGTGGAGCCAGCACTATTTTATTATATTGCCTTGCGGGTACCCTTGACATTCTGCAGGTTTTAAAATTTCAACATTACCTTTGTCACGGAAAAGTTTAAATATTTGAAACCCCGGTTGAAATTTTCAGGCTTAGAAAAAGGCGTGGCACACGGTACTAGGAAGATAAGTCCAAGCGACCACACGTAGTTTTGACCTTTTAGTAATCAATCTCTTTCAATTTTTTTTCTCGCAAAAATGTTTAGTTCGCTTCCTTAAAGATTAGAAAAAGGTGATTGCAGGATTTTCAATATGTGAAGTGCAAGCTCTTTCCATTGATTTCACGCATTTCCCTTCCGATACTATTATGCATAACACGTTAGATATTTTAATACGGGGCTTTCCTCGGAATTGAGAACGTATACAGGTTTTTCTGGTTAGGTTTTTCTTGGGGAAAAACACGGAAAACACCTTCTCGTCATAGACGATTGGAAAGACGCAGATTAACTGTTAAGGGGGACAAAAAAAAAATTTGCACCGCGTCTGGCGAAGTGGTTCCAGGGATGTAGAAGCTGGTCTGACCACTCGATGACCGGGAATGAAATGTAAGAATAACTAGAGTTTTACAGTTACTCCCCATTTGTGTGTGAATGAACAAAGTCATAGTGAGTAGCCGGCTCAAGCTCATAACTTTTCAACATATACTTCTTAGTTTTTCTATTTTCAGTATTTGTTTCATTAGAAAGCCTGTTCAGTTCGTATTTAATATTAGCTTCCCTTTATTGATAGGTATACGTGTGCGCACGAGAAGAGGGGAAAAATTTCATGGATTGAACACTAGTTTCGAAATGCGCATTGTCTAAAAAAAATTGTCCAAGTAAGTAAATTTAGAGCTGACAAAAATTTTCCGGTACAAAAGATAGGTTTACAGAGGGGAATTTTGCAAATTTTAAAGAATTTAAAGGCATAGATGTAGAAAACATGCTATTTTTGAGACTAAATTGAATAATTATTTTCAGAGGATTAGATCGATGTCTGAAGCCTGAGCTTTCGTGATCTTTATTAAAAATTAATTACCATTCCGTGCAATTTTGCTTTTTTTGGTGTTTTGGTCCAGCGTTATTGTGAAATAAATTCAAATGCTTCTATAAAAATTCACCTTACACAATTCCATCGGCTGACCTCCAACTCGCAAAAAAGCGACGGTCAAAAATATAGGGCTGTTGAAAACATATAATTATCTTAACAAAATACAACTCTTATCAAAAGACAACAGATTCATAAGTCCCTAAAAAGTTGTAAAACACACTACTTTGTGGTAAATAGCTTCAGTTAAGAATAAATTTCGAGTATTTCAATTACTTTGAATGCGTTTAATTTCATTCCGCTAGACACGGCAAGCCAAAATTTTGATACATTTTTCTCAGAGGTAATTTGTTTACCTTGACAATGGAAACCGCCTGACTTCTGTTTAAATGACCATTTTCGGGGATTTTTATCCAAAACCTTTGAAGAACCCATCCTCATGCCCTCGTATCGACAAACCACTTTTGAATTTCTGTAGACTGTAGGGCCACATTTTCACGCAGACAATTAAATGTGTTGTTTCGGTCTCAATTTCATGATGGCTCTAACGCAGAACTTCGATTTTTCCAAATTGAATTTTGAATGCCTTACTCATTCCCACACAATTTTAAATATAAAAGTCATCTCAAATTTCATGTAAACTGACGGTAGTTATTTTCTTTATTAATATTGTAGTAACAAATTATGAAGTACCTAATCTATGGACGCTCTCATCCTGTAATATTTGAGTAGTGAATATTACAAATTATTACCATCGATTTTCATCGCCACCTTCCAGAATTGAGAATTCTTTCTTCCTGCGATCAAACTTGAAACTCAATTTGATTTGAAATTTTTGTTTCAGGCCGCGTTACAAATCAACAATCTTGAGAACTTTCGTAAACGTTAGTTGCAAGATCGGCCGATCATGAACTTCACCAAGGAATCGAATGGGGCATTTTTCAGCGAGTCATTTTGGCTGCCGCAGAATGTCACCTGGGAGGACTTCAATCGGTTTGAGGACAAAGATGGACTTCGAATGCCTAAAATTCAAGATGTTTTTGTTGCCTGGAAATTAGTCCCTTTCGTACTCCTTTCAAAATTTGTGGTCGAAAAGTAAGTAAATCTAAATTTCACGTATCAAATTTTTTAGCATATCTGACCTCCACAGGAATAGGGACCTGAGCCCACAAAAATTCAAAATTTAGCTTCGTCATTGCGGTGGATTAAATGTTTAAAATATTTGTATGCTCTCCCGGACTCACTGTAAAGCATAAAATTTCAAGAACATACTTAATTACATCAAATTAGATTGCGGGCCCTAAATACTTTAAACAGGAAGGAGCAAAAAGGTACACGCCCTACCGCTGAGTTCGATCTGTTTCAATTTCTTTGATTTTCCGTTTGTTTCTCTGCATTGAATGCAGTTCAAATAATGGCACACTTTTTAAAGCACCGAAGAAAAAGCGAATGAATAAAAAAGCCTCTTCGACCAAAGAGAGCTGTCCTTGAGCCTACTGGCACTCTAACGCGCCCTGGGCTTATTTACTTTAATCATATAATTCAGTGTACATCCAATCGTTGTCATTATTCAGTACCAAAGTAAGATGATTCGCTCATGAGTGGATTCGTCTGACTGATTTTCGAACTGATTTTCTGCCTAAATGCTTGATTCCCTTTTTACGACCGAAAAGGAGATACTTTTAATTCCACCTGAGGCTTCATACTTACTATAATCATCACTCTGTCCTATTTAATTCAACAAATAAAGTAAAGATGTTAATATTCAATATTCATTCATAAGAGGGTTGAAGCATTATTACGAAATATGTAAAAGAAGAATCGTCCTTTGATAAAAACAGAACATGAAAAATTCTTAAAAAAAAAAAAAACTTACTTTAGAATTGAGAAGTGAAAGGTTAGCATTACACACTGAAAAAAAGTTCGATCATCGGAGTAGTGTGTTTTGAATAGGTCGTACTATGTGGTCAATCTAATCATAGTTTCGTTGCAGTCACAATGCAGCTCGCGTACTACAATTATAAGTCATGCGAGACTCATTTCTTTCCAAGTGTGTCAGAATGTTGTGTATAGTGTTTAATTTTAAATTATTAACACTGACAATAAGATTAGCTCGTTGATGAAGCCAATAATCCGGATTTTCAGATATTAAAGAAAAAGTGGAAAACTTATTTCGGTAACGCGGGTTCTGATACTAGATAAAAACTCAATGATGTTTTTTATGTTCTAGATTTGTCGCCCCTAAGCTCGGGAAATGGGCTGGGATAAAGGACGAGCTTCGGGAAAAACCAGAGCATGTGGAAATCTTAGAAAAAGCGCACCGAGCCAATCCATGGGGGAGGTGGAGTAACCAGGCCATCTCGGCACTCACAAAGCAACTTGATTGGACGGATGAACAAATTCATGAATGGTTCAAAGCTAGGAGAAAATACGCCACGGAAACCACATTGGAGAAGTTTTCCGAAAGTGTGTAAGTGCATAGAGCAGACGCCATCAACAGAAGATTTTAATACAAAGATACATTATAAGAACAACAGTATGTCCATGCATGCTTACTCTGCCGTGCTGAGGAAGAACACCGTATGAACATTCGAGAAATACCAAATTTCCTTCGATAAAATTTTTTTTTTTTTTTATAGAAACGTTTGGAATATTTTCTCTTAAAATTTTCAGGAATTTCACGTAAAAGTGCGAACAAAATTATCTGAAAAATTGAAAGGAAAATGTTCATAGTTTTACCGGGAAATTCGCGTTTTATCAACAGGAATCAGGCAACGTCTGAAGGTTCATGCTGCATTTTTCCCTAGCACGGCAATACTGTATACCGTATTTATTGTTAGTACATTTGCACCTTATATCGGTAGTGAAACTGCAGATATCGGTATTTCAGTTCAAGGCATTGCAGACCTCCTGTCATACATTATTTTCTAAATGGAAAACTATTGAACGTCATTGTTTGGAAACTTCAGTGATTTTTTTTTCTCTATGTAATGAATACTCTGTGAAAACTTCAAGCCATGACGTTGCCTTGGTCTCTTTTCAGAAATAAAATAAAAGCGGAGCTTTCGAAACACTGCAACCGAGATACGCATTTTTGCAGCCACTGCCGATATAGAACAGTTTAATACAAAGATACATTAACTGAACTACATCATACAGGGTGTCCCAGGATTACTGTGCCAGACTTCAAAGATCGATTTTTTGGGTCAAAATAAGACTTTTTTGTTCCATACATTTTTTTTCTGAAAATGCTCTTTTTCCACGACAGGGCCCATAAAAGTTGAAGATTTTCCCCCAAAATCTGCCCATAACTCTATCGTTTAACGTCAAATGCCAATGAAAATTGAGTTTAAGGGATTACTTTCCACGAGTCTGTGGAAAGACGGTAGGCAACATCTGTACACTAAAAATGACTGTAACTTTTGAACCGAATAAAATTCTTGAATTCCTACTGCACCAAGCGAAAGAGCTAATGCCCGTAAAGGTAGGCAACCCCAGGCTGCGGCCCGATTATTGAAACTATGTCAGCCCGACACGACAAGACATAGCCTTATCTTAACCATGCAATATATCGCAAATCGATGTCTTATCGGGCTGGTTTAAATTTCAATAATCGGCTCGCTGATTGTTTGCCTACCATTCAGGAGCTTTCAGGGGACGACCTTTTTTCTAACCTCCAATTCAGAGATTTTCCTTCAGTTTTTGGTAAAACACACAGCTTACCTTATTTTATCAAAACTATGCAATTTTTATCAAATAGTAGGTAGAAACAAGGAATTCCTATTGAAAAATTAATTTAAAAACAGGATATTTTTGGCAAAAAAAAAAATTCACTCTCTTTTGCTGATTCTCTTTCAGTTGGCGTGCTATGTTCTTCATTTGCATCATGGTTTACGGTATTTACTGTCACTGGTCGAAGAAATGGGTTTGGGATCTAAAACTATGTTACGAAAATTTCCCTCAGGTTTGAATCTTTTTGCAATTTTTAATAATAGTCTATGATGACATCATTCGCTTTTTATGCCGAAAGTTACAAATTGATTCACGATATTTACTCCTAGGTATTTGTTACCTATGACTTTAATGTCCATGGTTATATACAAATTAGCAGGGCGTGCTCAATCAGTACTTGAAATCAACACGAGATGCGTTTTTCATCAAAGGGAAAAATGCCTGACACGCTAAAGTAATAATCATTTTACAATGCTTATACAGGATTTCAGGACCAAACTACTTCTCTAGTTGTAGGCCTCGGCTGCAAGTACTCTTCAGACCGTGTGAACTCTTTGCCGCGATTTATGGTCTGTAGCCGTCACCCCTGGCTCCTGTGGCCTGTAGCTGTTCAGACCATAGATCGCGGCAGCGAAAAGCCGAAAGGGTACTTGCGACAAGAAGGACAATTTTGGACTCCATCTTGTTTTTCTTAGCGGTGCGTGTTTAAATGGAAGCTCATAATATCGTTTAATATCATTCAAGTAAATCCGGCAATACATATCCTTGAGAACTGGATGAACACTCAACTTTTCACAAATTCAAGAATTAAAGATTACTGATCAAGCTCAGTTTTTCAGCAATGCGATCCTTGAAACATGAAGGAAAATTTTACTCCAATCCATAAAAAGGAAGCCGACTCGCATCTTTGCAGGGTGCACGATTGGAAACAGGAGTAATGTGTATTTTTTGCGTGTGATTTAGCCGGTGACAGAGGACTTATACTGGTACTTTATCATCTCACTTGCCAATTACTCAGCCTGGAACATTTCCCAATTTTGGGACGTGCAGAGGAAGTATTACCGCATCCTGTTATTCCATCACCTCCTTGCGGTGGCACTCCTGGTGGGCCAGTGGGTTGCCGGGGTCCATAGGATGGGTCTCCTCATTTGCACTGTTCACGATGTTGGCGACTTGTTGCTAGAGGTAGGTGCCAGCGATCGACGAAACCGAAATCTCGTATCTTTTTTACTAATTCATGGAGGTGAATATAAATATAAAAAAAGTTCTTAAATCTATTGTTCGCGCCGGCCAGGTTGGCCTGGCCTAAAGGTCAGTGCGGTTGACTCGAATACCGCCGAGCTGAGGAAAATCGCCATACACTGACTAACGTCGCCATGACTAACGTCAATTAAATGCTAGAACAACAATTAATTTTTCTCCGTGTATGAGCTTTTAGATGTTACCAAATCTCCTTTAATAAAACACGAATTTCCTGATAAACTTATGGATATTTCTCTTCCAATTTTTTAGATAATTTTGTACGCAATTTCACCTTAAGCTCCTGAAAATTTCAAGGAAGCACATTCAAAATTTTTCTAAAAAAGAAACGTTTTATCAAAGGAAGTTTGACAACTCTCAAATGTTCAAACGGCCTTCTTCCTTAGCACGGCAGAATAGGTTAATAGGCCCCGGATTTGAATCCCGGTGGCGATAATGGCGTCAAATTTTCACGGAACTGACGTGTGGATCCGCAATCCCTGAAAATTTGAAAAGCCTCCTGGAGCACGGATGTCCCAAAAATCCCTCCGAGTCTCCTTTGTGTTATTAGAGTGCCGGGAGAGATCCAGATTATCGGATTGAGGCTGTGAACGGTGGAAACTAGAACATAATTAAAAATTAATCACCACACAGAGAACGAAATCAGAGATCACCAACATGCTCAATCCACGTTTCCTCATTGAATTTCTATGTAAAATATAGTGGATATAGATATACTAGGGACCTGTAGCCACTACGTTGCTGCCAATCACTGGAAAAAACTACACGTAAAAAATCATAGAATAACCATGTTCAAGTTATTTCAGAGATGAATAGATTCAAAAGCTGACGGGTGCATGCGAAAGAAAGCGTATTTATCTCTTATTGCAACGTTGCACATGTCTACTCATGTTTTATTTTCAATCCATTTTTTTAAAAAGCTACACAAATATTTTTAGAAGTTCTGGAATGATTTAAAATAAAATCACAAAAAATTTCGACGCGATATTTTCGTTCGTACCTACTGGGTTTTTTCCCCTTTTTATTAAACCAAAATTAATTTTACGCGAATCGAGTTTCAGAATCGCTACATCCTTTAAACATTGTCTTAGTTTCTGAATCGTTGCAATTAAGATTAACATCGACGGTGTAAGTCGGCAATCACAGAACTCGGTTTGCGACATCGCAGACTTTCTGTCATACTTTTTTTAAGCGTGCCTATAGGGCTCGCTTTTTGAAATCACTCGGATGTACTGTAGTACAGCACACCGATCGACCAATGCTTTTCAAGGGGCGGTCCGAATTTTTTTTCCGTCGGATCCGTTCTTTCGTTTTTGAACCGTTATAGTGTCAAGCCCTGAAGGTCATTCATCGAGAAACCGAATTATTCTGTTACTGGAAACCCTTGAGAACATTTTCCGGTCAAAACCGTATTATTTCATTTGACAGATCCTTCAAAAACCCTTTTTTACGCTAGAGCGATTTGAATCTAGAATATTTTTTCCCGCCGCACTTTAATGGGTGCTTCGTACCCATTGACTATACAACATGAGCCCTATGCATTACTCCGTGATAGAATGCCGTATCAAAACAGCTGATATTATAGACCGTATTCGATAACGGTTCGATGTATCGTTTGGTTCAAAACAATAGCACATAACCTCAAACCAAACTGTAAGGATTTGAGTTGGAAAAGCTGAAATTGAGAAAATTCCTAACAATTTCACTTAAAATTGGCATTAGGTACGCAAAAGAATAAAAAATCTATTACAAAAGACCCGTTCTCTCAGATTTCTGAATTTACTTTTGAGGCTATGTTTATATTTTGAACCAATCGATATCGATACAATCTCAGCCGTTTGATGTATCGAATACGATCTATTAGCTCTTGGTTCAGCGATTCATTCAAGCTCATGTCTCCGAAATTTCAGTTGTTCGGCACGCTTTTCCAACATATTCATGTTGGATGTTTCTCCTTGTTTTTTTTTTGAAACGGAGAACTACTCAACGGCAATTCTTAAAAACTGCCGAGATTTTCCTTCTCTGTGCGAAGAAAATTCTGTAAAGACTTCAAGGAATGATGTCAATTTTTTCTCCTTTAAAAAAACAATATACAGGGTTATTCAAAAGTCACGCACCACTGACCATAACTTTAGTTTTAATTGGACGTAGTTCTACCAAAGAGACCTATGTGGAAGTGAGAAATATGGGGTGTGCTCGTTAGTCTCTGGCCGTAAGAGTGAATGAGAATAATTGTGCGCCAGTGACGTCAACGGAGGAGGACGCCGCGTCACGTTCCTCGTGGTTGCGGTAGTCGTGCTCATTAACTCATGAGCCCTGTCCACAAGGCTCTCTTGCCATGCCCGCGGCTCATGAGTTCCGCACTCAGTTGCACATAGGTCTCTTTGATAGAATGCAATATCCCGCTTTGCCAATTCTTCAAAAGGAACCACGCCCACTGACCACATTGCTTCTTATGCAGCTTCCACGAGCACACCCCACATTTCTCATCGCCACATAGGTCTGTTTGGTAGAAATACGTCCAATTATGATATCGACTTGCGCGGTTTAAGACGTTTTTCCTCATATCGAGGGGGATTCTTTTAGGTACTTTCCACTTTTTAATCCCCTCGGGTGAAGGGGGCGGGGGGTAACTCAAAAATTTCAAATGGCCACCCCCCTCATGGCCAGTGGTGCGTGACTTTTGAATAACCCTGTATAGGTAGAGGCGGAGATTTTCAGACACCGCAAACGAGACATGTGATTGCCGACTTATACCGTCAATATTTACCCTTTAACTGTGGTAAAAGCCGGGCAGGGACTGTCGAAATATATGACGCGTGATCCTAATTTGTCAGCTATTTTAGCGTCGCGCAAGCCAGGGCAGGGAGCGCGGTCAAGTGTCGAGTCATCTTCACGGTGTGATGCGTCTTCAATCCATTGCGTTTGGTGCAATGCGAGAAGTATTCCTGCAGTCTTGCAGGCGCTGATATGACTTTGACGCCGACCGCACCGTGTTTGGCGCAATTATTCGAACCTGTGTTAGGATCATCGCTGCATCGAACAATGGGGCTTAAAGGCTCATGTTGTGTTTCGACGCCGTATGAGCACATCCAAAGGCGCCTCGTTTCTCCTAATAAAATATTTTTTCTGAGAAAAGTCAAGAAAGTTCTCTATGTTCGCTTTTTTAGAGTAAATGGACCATTAAACAAGGTGCGAATTTAGACACTCCGATACTTATTGAACTTATTGATTTTAGAACCCGGAAGGGGTTGGATTGTTTTGTAAACTGGTGTCACTTAAGGAAATACACATTTAAAACTTTTTGAGGGCTTTTCCCTGAATAACCATTCAGTTTTAGGGGATCTAAAATCCTGAATCTGGCAAACTCTAATAGAGCTTTGTGATTGTTTTCTGTGTTATCTCAATCTCTGATTTGATTACTTCAATTTTTTTCAATTTTATAGGCAATCAAGTGCTTAAAATACCTAAATCTACTGAGGGCGAAAGCATGGTGGCTATGGATCTTTTCATTCGTTAATGGTGGTCTTTGGATCGCCACACGAAACATCATCCTCCCGTTTTACCTCATACCAGGGTTTGTATTACTTCACAATACACTAAAATCAAATATTTAACTAGGCATAATTGAAAGTCCGAGCATTGTGACGTGCTACAGAAAAACGCCGTGTAAGCCTTTGGGCATCGTCAATTTTCCTTTGATTAATCACGAATTTTCGGGAATATTTATAAAAAAAATTTTCCCGATTTTTCAGAGAATTTTATTCGTAATTTGATCTAAATAGTCTAAACATTTTAAGGAAAAATATTCATAAGTTTTCTTACCAATAAACATTTTATCGGAGAAAATTTGGCAACTCTCGTAAGTTGGCACGGCGTTCTTCCTTAGCATGGCAGCATTGTTCTTTCTGTTTTTAGAAAAATTAGAGAAATGATCTTGAAAAGAAGTATAGAATATGGATGAAACTGTACACAAATGTAATGCTTACTTTTAAGCGTTTACAAACTGTTTCTTTTAATGATTTTTTGCGCGCCTGATACGTGTGTTTACTATTGTTGGAAATATAATGATAACGAATGTGACAAGCAGGTACGCACCCAATTTATCTTCACACAATGTGCGATCGCACAATCACCTCATTATCCGTAGACACATGTACGTTTCTAAAATCCTTATAAATCATCGAATAGAAGGAGAGGCAGCTGGATATTTATTTTACATTAAAACAGATTGCTTCAAAGCCTTACTCATCAAAACATATGCCTTCTTCATCAATGGAAAAAGAAACGAGTTATTTTGCAATTAAAAAAGGCGTAGTCCTTCACCAAAAACAAATAAATTTTGTTTTGAAAAGAAAAAACTTTAATTCAGAATTTACAGTTACAAATTAGTTATTCAAACTCATCAATAAGCTTTAAGTCACTAAAGCATGTCTCGGTATAACTCTTGTAACTTTTCCAACCCCTTCGAATCAGCATTTTATAACATAATTTTCTGCCTTCTTGCTTCCACTTAAATTGTATTATTTGGTCATTTTATCTTTACAACCATGATGAAAAAATTTTAAAAATTCAAAAGTGACTGTTTCATTATGAATTCCAAAGAGGAGACGCAATATGAAATAGTTTTTAAGGAAGACGGATTGATATTAAGACTGTATTTACTGTGTCTCTTCAATTTTTGTTACAGTATTTACCGACATGCACCGTTCGGTATGCTTCAGTCGTTCCCGTATTCGTGTTTCAGGGGCGGAGCTTGTAACATCAGGTATTCCTATACTCTTGAATACTATTATACTGTTTAGTATCATTAATTCTCTCGTATACCATATTATTTGCTTAATGTCCTGCTCCACTGTAGTAAACAGCAGGGACAATTTTTGTGAGGGCAGATTAAGAATTCATGAAGAACAGTTTGACTATCGGGATTTGTGAATTGATTTTAATTTCATGTTTTATCAGAACATTTGTATGCAAAATTGCAATTATGGATTATTTTTTATTTATTAGGATCTCGGCCTTTCATTGAAAATAAGGCAAAATCTTCAACTCCTGCATAAAAATCAGTTAACTCAATGAGAACAAACCAATATGGTTGTTACAGAGGACCTTTCCTAATTTGATTTGTTTTCTCTTTTAAAGTGATCTCACAGCAACACATTTCGCCCTGACAATATGCTTTGCAAAATAAACCACGTGATTGAAAAAAACAAGTTTCCTGGGATTTCATCCTAATTCGATTTAAACGGCAACAAATCCTTAAAAACCCATTATACCTTATTTTAGTTTACTATAAATATTGAGATACTTGGAGAGAAAAATCATGAGAAGGAAGGCCCGAATACTGTAAGTGAAAGGGTTTTAGAATAGTGCTGAACTCCCCCTAAGGGGAAAAAATACCAAAAATTAGAATGAGAGTATAAAAATGACTCCTCCAATCTTGTGCTGAAATTCCTAAAAGTTCAGCGTAGCTTTAATCCGAATGTTTAGGTTTTTCTTACTTTGATTTCGCTTCAAACGAGTGTGGATCCTGCCTCACTCTTACACCCTGCCGATTTAAATACTTACACATATTTTAATGTTTTATAATGTTTTGATATGTCGCATCCTATCAAAAGTTCTTTAATAGTTTAATATTCCCCTGTTCCCTCCTTTGAAGGGGGGGGGGGCAAAGGATGAGACTTGTTCTCAATGAAATTCGAATGTTTACTCGATTTCCTAATTTTGCTTCTTACTTGCTTGCTTTGTATATAATTCTCATGGTCTCCGGTCAACTTCTTTTTTCCTCTTCTTTCTTTTCTAGTTCGTTCGCATTCAACTCTAACCATGTCCTTGTGATAATGTTGTCATGTTTGGGGCTTCTTCACGTGTACTGGACCTGTCTTATCTTCAGAATTTCCTACTTGGCACTTATTGTCGGGAAAGTAAGTATTTAGATTTGAAAAATAGGGATTATGATAAGAATTCGCCTTTAAACTATACAGGAGCGGCGCTCAGTGGATCAAGTCAATAGGGGGAAGGGGAGTCGGACAAATTTGGAAACTTTAAAAGCTCATAACTAGACCCAGAAAATTGCCAAGCTGCAACTGAAGAGCGTATTTCATCGATAGCTCAAACGTTTACTTTTCGGTTTAGTTTCATAAAAATCGTCCATGGTTACCTTTCCCACGGACGGGGATCAAACCNGGGGGGGGGGGGGGGTCCATTGTCAGAAGTTCTTATAGAGAAGAGTGAGGGGTATGGAGTTGAAAAATTCATGTAAAGCATGAAAAAAGTCGTTTTTGGGGGAAAGTGTTCCAGTTGAAGGGGAACAGTCTACACCCCCCGAGCCCCTCACGCCTCAGCACGCAGATCATCACAAATCACGCAGCCAATTATAAAAATTAATAATATTTTGACCAGAGAGGTGATTAACATAATGTTATAGGAGCTGACATCATAAAGCCTTGAACTTCGATCCGTGCATGCGGTAGAATCTTTAACGTTAGCGGGCCGTCACACAGTGGATTGAACCTTCGAGACTGCAGTGGCGTGGCGTGCTTTGCGATATATCGATTGATCTGCCATTCAAACCTGCGGAGAAAGGTCCATAGACAGGGTGCTACAAAAAACACCTCAATAATAGATTCTTTACTACAGCTTCAAATGGGGAAATATCGATAATCGATCATTCACGCCTTGCCAATGTCGGGGATGAAATCTAAGACTAAACTGCAAAATTTTGAGAACTTGTACATCACACTGAGAAAAAAAACACGTTGGATCTAGAGTCCAGACTCTTAAAAACACCGACAAGAAAAAATACTCTTGACTCAATTGGATTTTTGCTTAAATCAAGAACCGAGCTTCTTAATTTGAGCGGATTTCCTTTTGATTTAAGCTTAAATCTGATTGAATCAAGAGTATTTTTTCTTGTCAATGTTTTCAAGAGTCTGGACCCTAGATCCAATGTGTTTTCTTTCCAGTGCACCCAATAGATTTTCACAAAAAGAGAATGTTACACAGAAACTAAACAAACCACTTTTCAGACTCTACGTCTCGTATTTACGACGATATCAGTCAATAACGTTCGCACATTTTATCCGGCTTCTCATAATGACTCATCCTACTGAGCGACATCTCGGAGTTGTGAGTCAGATGTAAACACGACCGGCCTTGCTGTCATTGATCCGACAAAAATAATAAAGCGCGTGGCAACTATATCCATTTAATTTTCAATCTTTACGGTTTTGTTTATTTCGTTCGGGAGCGCCGCGAAAACGGAAATATCATCGTCAAGTTAAATTTTTCCATCTTCCTGATCATCTGTTTCGGGAGATGCTCTGAACATCTACTGAACTCAACCATTACATTCGTGACGTAAACGGTATCATTTAACTACCATCTGCGGTCTTGGAGTTTTTCCGATTGCCATCATACTTATTTAACTTGTGAATCTGAGTGCTTCCGTCGGGTTAATTGCTCGTCAACGGGCAAGCCGAACGGGCGCACACTGGACCAAGTCATTAAGATAATTCGGACAAAATTTGGAAACTTTAGACGCTTATAACTCTGTATAAAAACTTTGAGGCTCCAAAAGTGGTTCCTTTGGTTTTTTGTGAAATTTTCTTCAAGGAGCACCCTTTAACATTTAAAATTTGACGAAATAAACATATAAATTTGCAGTTTTAGTCAAAAATTTCGTGTCCGACCTCTTTAATTGACTCGATCCACTGTGAGGAGCAGTGAAACTAATTCTTGGCTAAAATTGGATGGATTCTATTATATTAAACATAACTGCATTTCACATGTCTTAACTCAATGTCTCATTTTATTGACATAGATTTAAATTATATGACGACATTTTGAATTTTGAGGCAGAACGTTGCTTAATTGACTGATTAAAACAAAATAAAAAAGGAGCAAACATTTGGCATTGACTGATCTACTGCAATCCACGGAAAAACTCTTTTTTTCGCGTAAAATAGGGTATTTTTCCACGTACTTCTCCAAAGTATATTTCGATTGGGCGAATAGAATCTTCAAGAACGTTTTGATTAGCCGCATTCATCAAGTTTCTCAGAACGGCAATTTGGCATTTTCTCATCTAAATTACTAACACTTATGTCTGCGATTTTCTTTTTTCAGCTGGAAGATGACACACGAGAGGTATCGGATGATGAAAGTGGCGGCCCAAAAATGAAACTGAAATCCACAAAAAAGGAATGATGCGGTTTTTGGCAAAGCTGAAACGAAGCTGTTGGTTGCGTGTGTCACGAAAAAAAAATGAAGCCGATAATTGTATAGATTGGAGACAAATTTGCGTGAACTATAATTTCGGTCACGTCCGACTGGTGAATCCAATTATCTTAAATTTGACTTCTAAAATATCTCATAATTGACACTGATTCATCGTCCAGAAAAACTTGACGCTTGTTTCATGTTTAAATTTTACATTCCGGCGCCTAAGATAAGGCCAGAGCGTTGTTGGTGACCGGAAAAGGGTTACAAGAATCGAAGTCATATTTTCAGTCAGTAAATAACTTCATGGAAATTCCGACTCTTAAAGTAATCGTTTTACTCAGCTCAGGATGAGTTTGGGTCCTTTAAAAATACTCAACTATTATATCAAGCGCTCTATTGGATTACCTATTTTTTATTTACCGCAATTTTCCTCTAGACAAAGGGCAACATCTAGATAGGAATTATTTCGGCTCAATTTGCATGATAAATATAAAGCCTGGAAAAAACGCAATGTAGATATTTGGTTGCATAATATTTTTAAAAAATTTTATGTCTTTAAAAATAACCATCGGAATGTGTTTCGTGACATTTTGAATCGACTCGCTCTTAAGTTTCCGCGTCAAGAGCCGCGAAAGTGAATTTGTATCATAAACAATACCCACCCGTTGCTTGTGAATTCTCGAGATGTTCCTCTAGTCAAATCATTTACAGCGCCTACTTTGTAGTGGAATGCAACCCGACATACTGCCGCATGAATCGGTATCGTGTCAGCGTTGCAAAGTGGCATGGTTTGAACTAAATTTTTACTCCTAAGATTTCCTTGTGGAATATGTACAATATATTTTAAGGTGCCAGAAGTTACGTGGCTTAGTGATTGAGCTATTGTTCTAGAAATTTGGAACAAGTTGCTTTCTTGAAAAGGTACATGCAGTGGCGATTTTGCGAATTGGCTGCACAATTGTTCCTCCTTCAAAATATCGACTTTCGGCGAGACAAGCTGTCTCGCCAAGAATCGATTCTTTCACATAATGTACATTTTCATGGAGGAAAAAAAGTGGCTGGCTCGAAAACGAATCGCCAGCAGAAAATTCCAATTTACTTCGTGCCCTTTGTGCCATTTTTTCGGTACAAGCGATGATTTTGTGATATTAAGTCATAAGTTAAGTTAGTTTTAAGTTAGTGTAAGGTTACTTCTATATCGATTATAAATTTAAGAATCATGCCGTATTTCATTACCTTGTTTACTAATGTATATAGCAAAGGTTTATAAATCCATGATTTTAAATAAAAAAAGGAAAATTCTCAACACCAAGTTGAATTCCAGCGAATTCAGTGTGTGCTATTCTTCGATCATTTGAATTTATTTACTTAACTTATCGAAACCAGAATTTTGGTCTATTTGCATAGACTATAAACCTTCCCCGCACGGACGAATATTAAAAATAAAATACTCTCCTTCAGCGTGTCTTATCCATGTCAAGTGCTGAAAACGAGATTCAGAAAGTCTATTGACTATTTGTTAAGATTTCAGGTATTATGCTCACCATGACAATTGACGGATTTTGACATAAAAAATTAAATAAATTGTTGCTCTAATATACCTATCGACAGAAAAATTAAAATTATGACAAACATGCGGCAACAACAACTGTACCGTTTGAGCATGAAATTGCATGGCCTAGGAAATACTTGAAGTTTTGAAATCACTAAATTAATCCCTTCTCCCTGGGATATAATTGAGAGTAAATGGAGGCGTTTATAATGGCCGCGCATGCATGTAGTGGTAAAGAAATTGCAGAGTCCACTTACGTAGATTAAAACAAAGGCTCCGAGAAGAGGTGTAAATGCATAAATGCAGGTTATTGTATGGACTAGCAATTTATTATTTATAATCCATTTATCGCTTTATATCTGGCCTTTGAATGCTGTGTGCCTCCACATGCGATGGACGACCCCCTTTTCGACAATAGTTAATCAAAAACTCTTTTGTCTGTCCATCATTGGAAAACAATTCTCCACCATTAAACCCATAGCATCGGTGCAATATGCAAAATTTATAATTAGAGCATTTTGCCATAACGGCTTTAAAACATTCTCGCGATCGGGGGAAATATTAATAATACTTGTAACTGGATAAACTGAAACCGCTCCATTTTTAGAGCGAAATTGTTTTCTACGTTAGTCAGTATATTTGTGAAGATTATAAACATGTTGTAACTGTTCGAAAACTGTAAAATCAAATCCGATATCATGATAAAAACTCAACTTGTGCCAGATTCTCTCGAATTTTAAATTGGAGCAACTCAACAACCGGACTTGCATGAACAATCACAAAGGTCGACTAGTATTATTACCTTCGTTTAATAATGAAAAACTACGAAAACACCAAGCTCTTCCAAATTTCCTCCAAAGTTTTCTTGTGCAATTTTGTTGTTAGGCAAAATGTTTCTGCAGATCTGGGTGATTCATTGGAAATTTTAAAACCACCTATAGTGCAACTTACACCCTATCACCCTCCCTCCTTCAGCGCAAAAAAAAAATAAAATAAAATAAAAAGGATTCGCCATCACTGAATAAATTGTCATTGACCTATGGAATTTTTATGGCTCAGAAATTGTTTTTAAGCCAGGGAAAAATATTTTGGAGTGGAATAATTTTTTTCCATCAACAACAATTTGATTTTCGTTGATTTAAAAAAAAAAAAAAAACATATTAATGTAAATTTCATCTTCATGTAAAAAAAAGTATTTTTATTTTAACTAGCCAATTTTTTTAGCCAAATTTTTAGCCAATTTTTTTAGCCAAATTTTTAGCCAATTTTTATTTTAACTAATAAAAAAACAGTTTAACCGTTTTCCCTCAATGATATCTCCCACTATCCCACTTTCCTCACAGACGTGACACTGGAGCGGCTAGGCGTGAATGATCGATTATCGATATTTCCCCATTTGAAGCTGTGGTAAAGAATCGAGTATTAAGGAGTTCGTTGCGAGCACCCTGTCTATCGATCCTCTTCCGTGGATTCACATGGCATAACGATCAATATATCGCAAAGCACCGCGTGGCACGAATATAGCAATGTTGACTCGCATCGCAAGAGGTGTTCACCGAAACTGGAATCTTTGTTTTCTAGACCCGAGAGTGCTCGCCGCGGCTCATTTATTCGTAGTCGCACAAGAGACGCGGATCATTGCCATCAAATGCAGCGGCGCAGATCTTTAAAAGGAGTTTATTTTTAAGACCGCATCGAACTGCTGGAACGCGGTAGCAAATCGTAGGGTTTGCGGGGCGTGTTCGGCCCCTTCTGCCGTGATAGCAAAGAGAGCAGTAAGTACATTTCTATATGAGCCATGGTTAGCACATGCTTTTATGTGTCTCGAGGTTCATTCCAGCATGCACTTACTGCGCTCTTCGCTAACACGGGAGCTTTGATCCGAGCACACCGCGACAACCGGAGATTAATGCACCTCAGGGATGCCAATTTTTATTGCATTTCCTCTACACTGGAAAAAAGTCGCTTGGATCTACAGTGCGGACTCTTAAAAACATTGACAAGCAAAAATACTCTTGATTCAATCGGAATTTTTGCTTGAGTCACACGTACAACACGAAAAAGTAAAAACAGGCGAGTTGGAATGTTTGTTCTCGTAACCGGACTCAGCAAGATTCAAATCCACGGTGAAACTGCCAGCGGTGTTTCGAAATCTCCACTACTATTTTATTTTTTAAAAGGAGACTGAACCATTATCATGGCTTGAAGATTGCACAGAATATTCTTCATGATAGGAGGATAAATCACTGAAATTCTCAAAAAATGACGTTCAGTAGTTTTCCGCGTGGAAAATAAAATATGACAGGAAGTCTGCAACACCGCAAGCCAAGATACACATTTCTGCAGTTTCGCCATCGAAATCGAAATGACCACTATCTAATGCACCAGTGCACTATCGTTATAGAATTACACTGAACTCTGTCATTGATTACGCGCTGCATTTGTTGCCTACCTGGAGTTTTGCAGGCGATTTTTACGGAGGCGCGTGATCTTTAAAACGAATCATGTGGACCTAAATACGAGTGTTTTTGAAGTGGTCCGTTTAGTTCTTTGGAATGCAAATTCAATGCATTAAAATATGTACGGTATCGACGAAGTTAGTGTAAATATTCGATAAATTTGGGCAACATTATTGAGCTCAAGTTAACTTCCATACCAACGTTTTGGTAAGCTTGTTCTGTGTGTCCCGTGATTCTGTGCGTTCAAAAGTGAACGGAATAATCCACAAAGGTGAAGAGGTGAAGATTGGATGACGCACGTATTGTGTGCGGAAACGTTTACTGGCAGTTAAGTAATTTCAAGAATCTTAACAGGTTCGAAGATTTCTAATACCTCCAGTTTTACATTTATGATATTTTGATACCCTAGTTCAATTTACAATCTCCAATACCTCGTGTTCGAAACTCACATTTGAGTTTTAGAAGCCATGTGGCGCATCAAGCCCGATAGGCGCCATTGAAAATTTTTTAGGGGCCAAATTGACTTTTTGCATATATATTACGGCGCATTTAGTGAGAATATAGACGCACGATGTTTTCGTAACAGAACTAGTAAGTAGTTGTAACTTGGGGAAAACAAAAGTACAAAAGATGAAATCGTGAAGAGTAGAAAAAGCTTTCACTTGTGGTGCTGAAAATTTCGAATGATCACCAAATATGGAAATTCAGATTTTTTGGGGGCAATTTTTAGGGGCCACGTTGGCGCAGAGCTTTCATTTTTTAGGCGCCATGGCCGATTTTTTAGGCGCATTTGGCGCGTTGGCGCCTGTGAGTTTCGAACACTGATTCATGAAATACCTGAGACAAAGGATTGCGTTCGAATGCGTAAACGTGCGTAGTAACACATCTCTCAATTATTGTTAGATGTTATTGACGTTGCCATTATTATTCAAAGGATTTTTCTGCTTGGCTGGGTTACATCAGCCAACGTAGAAAGAAATTTTGGAACTAATAACAATCTGACAATTCTGTGTAGTGTATGATTATAGGTACGCCACTATACGCCGTACAGTGGTCGGCAGTTTGTTCGAACGTTAATGTTTCGACACATTTCATTTTCTGCTTCCACTTTCGAGGATTTATGGCTTACCATCCGTGACAAGAAAGAAAGAGAGGGAGAATAAATATTAAATTGACAAACTTTATGAAGAAATTACGAATTGTCCTACGCCAGGAACAATATTTTTAGAGGTTTGACGAGAAGAATTTTGTATATAGGCGACTCGGGATTCTTCATTTTACTTGGAATCAAACCCCGAATTTGTTGATACGCAAAAAAAAAAAAAAAAAATCCGGCCGTGGAAGCCGTACCAACGGGCTATATTGACACACCGTTTGCGTTCCTGGCTCAGAGGCCAAAAGTTCCGGGCGTAGCCCCGGAGCAATCGAAGCTGCGGCTCCAGCACCCAAAACTTTCGGCCTCTGAGCCCGGAACGGACGCTATCTCTTTACAGTCCGTAACTTTTTTTTTTGGTGTAATACTCTCTCGGTAAATGAGTTTCAGCTTCCATTTGTCCTGTACATGTTTTTCAACTAAATTGGACCGCATTTTGAAATTAGGAACCATAATTTCTGGCTCAGTTTCGAAACGACGTATGTACCATTAGTACCCTACGAACGTAGGTATTTTTACAGATGACCCAGAAATCATAGTTCCTAATTGCAAAGTGCGGTCCAGTTGAAGGTATGCTATAGTCTGTGCAACATAGCCTGGTTTGAAAAAATAAAAAAAAATAGGAAGAACAACAACACATTTTTATCAGGGTAGGAAGATTCCGTTTGATCGATATATGTTAATGATTCATCCAGGAAAGAATTGTGCACGCGCGTCGATGGAATGTGTTGACGCAAACGCAGCTATAAAGGAAAGGCCAGAGCAAGACAATTCATCAACACGCTTCAATATAATAAACGAACCTGATGTAGGGGATTCGACAAAGGCTTTGGAGAATGATTATAGATTCGGAATACTAAAATATAACCCTCGAAATGTGACAGCATTTTGAAAAAGAGTGTACCTGCCTATTTTTGAATGCATTAAACATAGAATTTTGAGTTTCTTTGTATTTAAACTCTTAGTCCAAAAGCCAAATGACATTTTGTGACAAACTCGTGACACATAGTTTTGATCACTTCAATCGATAGCCTTACATACACTGACACTAAAAATGATCATTGGCCACGTCGTAGTGTGTGCTACACGCGGCAGACGACCAGTTTCCTTGTCAGTTCAGATTTAAGTTGTCAAAACTTGTGTCCCAAGTTTGTCACAAAACGCCGCCGGGCTCTCGGACTATCATC